AATGAGTATGCGCCGGCAAATCAGGGCCTTGGACGTCGTGCTTGCCTTCTTTGCCCCACTTGAGGAGGATTCCTCAAGATTTCCTCAATTCGAATCGTCAACCTTGCCAAGCAATGCCATGCTGACTCAAGATTTCCTCAACCTTGCAGCAACCTGTTTAAGTTGACAGGTTGTTCTGAGCAGTGTGAGGAAACAATAGATGCCATCCACTGTGACCTTGCCCGATGTGCCCATGTCGGTGCAAGGGGTCAGTGGCATGGCACAAGTGAACACACTTGAGGAACAATTTCTTGTTGACAATTTGGGAGTCACACCTTTGCAGCTTCTGCCGGCTCTTGCACAGACGTCCTCAGCCTTGCGAAACCCTGTTGGTGTTGCCGGGCTCTCACCCGAAGAGCCATCAAGTTTCCTTGCTTGGGGACACAAAGGCCAGCCATCTAGTGTGACCTTGCCCGACGTGCCAATGTCGGTGCAAGGAGTCACTGGAATGGCACAGCTTCCGGTTGCTCTGTTCACACACCGGCTTGGACAGAAATAATACTACATTTGTTCATGGTTTTCTCAACAATTTTCAGTGTCTGCAAATCTCCAGTTACATTAATTCTGGACAAACCTACCGTGTCGTAACGTATCCAATAAGTCTTTGTTCAGGTTGACTTCTGATTTTGATAACTTTGGCTTTTGCCAAGCCCACTGATCCAGCCCCCGCGGATCCAACCCTACAAACGAGCATATTGAGATGTGTAGTTGTTGGCCGTGCGACCAAAATGTGCGTGCGTTCCCAGATTCTGACATCGTGTCTCATAAACTGTGTGTCGCTCATGCCGCGCCTGCTTGCCCCCAGTGGCCCAGGTCTCAGAGTGTCAACATCTTGCAAGAGGCTGGTCCGTGAGCTTGTCTTTACACAGCAAAAGGTGCGGTACAGCGCATTTGCTGCATGCTGGGTCTGGAAAATCATGCACATTCAATATTTTGATTAGCCGGCAGCCAAGAATAATCAATCCGCCGCTGGTTGAACTGTAACACGTGACGTGTGATTCGAGTTATCCTGAATCTGCCTGCTGCAAGGTCTTAGTGCCTGTACGTGCTGAAAACTGAGTCTGGAGGAAAGGAGGCCTGTGACTGTGTGGCTTTGCATGCGCTGCTAGCAGAGTGTTTGCTGCCAGGTGGTTGTTCATGGTAATAGGTTCCGGTGTCTAGTACACTGCATGTGCTTCGTGCTAGGGGTGGAATCTCTTGCCAATGTGCATACTAATGGCGAATGTTTGCCTCAGTTCCTCGGGAGTCGTCGTGCCTAGCTTCAGTCGTGGAATCGTGCCATTCTGATTCTGAGTCCTGTGACGTGAATAAAAATATCTGTGCAGTCCAATATTTGCCCTTACTTACTTGCGACAGCGACTTCAGGAAATAAAGGAATTGTTGTGAAGAGTTCGTCTGAGAACTGACCTACGCCGTACGCCGAGAGCTTGTAGTGCGGCAGGCGAGGCTTTACAAGGGCTTGAGGCTTTAGTACAGTTTGGCCTGGACATCTTTCAATTCCGTGTTGGTGTCTTGCAGTCTCTTGCGTTCAAGAAAGCTGTGCACTTGACTTGTGACTTAGAGTTCGGATCTGGGAGGACCGTTCGTTGTAAGTGGGCGTTGTGGCTCGCACTCGCAAAAGCCTAGTCACTGGCCGACACAAACTTTGTGTCTGTGAAAAACTCTGACTGGCAAAAGTGCCTAAGCCATGCCAATGCCAATGGACCCGGACTCCCAGAAGGTCTTTCGAAAGCTTGCGAAATTGCTGTCGGAGCGACAAGCCAACTATGTCCTGCAGATGTGGCTGAGATTGTACTACGACCAGTGTGTGCACCTCAATATACTAAATCAGAAATTCTTTTGCTTACTGCGATTCGTCCCAAAGCCCTGTGACTGTAATAAATATTAATGACCAAAGTCCAGCTAGCTGTCATCCAAGGGAAGACTGCCTGGGCGACTACCTAGAGTTCCGCATGTATTGGATCGAAGAGTCTCTCAACAACGAGGTGCACACCGAGTTGGCGAAAAGAAGCAGGTTGCTCGAGCTCAAGATCTTGAGGAAGATCGTCACCGTGAGATAGTGACTCAGCGACTTAGTGACTGAGTGGCGGAATGACTTCGGAGCCGGACCGAGGCCGAGGCTTTTTACAAACACAGTGTGGTTTCACCGTGTTTGCGCAAGTAATTTGTATACGAGTAGGAAGTGACAAAGTGGTTGCACAGAATCAGAATGCAACCCAGTCAGCAGCCGGCAGTGCGGCAGTGAACATATTTATCTCAGTGCTTACTGAGCACTGAGGTAAGCATGGGCCTGGGCCATGTGACTCTATGCTAGTTACATATGTATTTAATTTATATGTATATATATATATATATATATATATATGTATGTACATATTTCCACTCCTGTGTCGATTCGAGGAGCCTGAATTTGCCTGCGGTGCCGTGCTGTCCTAATTCAGTTTATCGGCAGCAGTGTGTCTATGTGGGAATGAAACAGTGCTTGCTCATATAATGACTAAGTCTTTATTTGACCGCTACTGCCCACAAGTCGGGACTGCTGATGCTAACAGAGTGCACAACTCGACCTGCCTTCAACAGCAGCTAGCAGTGGAAAGTGTGTGTGCCTGTCAGTGCCTAGCCTCGGTTAGAGAGTTCTTTGTTTTGGCCTTGAGCCTATGTTATGTCGCCAGGTCTGAGCTCCCGGACTCTGGACTTGACTTGCCACACATTGAGAAGGCCCGCTGTGTAGAATAGAAGGGCATTGATTCATTGACTTCCTGCTCATCCAGGTTGCTTGGTGTGACGATGTCTGAGCTGCCACTTCGGGCGGCCAGTACGGGCCTTGCCTGGTGCCTGATTGATTTGTGCTTCATCATTTATTAATTGAGTTCTCGTCAGGTGCAGTTTGCTTGAATGAATCATCCAAGCAGGCTGCACATGACTGAGGGTATGTCGATCTTGATAGAGTCATTGTTTCACAATCTCGTCAGCTTAGTGTGACGATGTCTCAGCTGTCGCTGCCAGTGCCTGATTGATGTGTGCTTCGTAAATCAGTGTCAACTTTGAGCAGGCATGGAGGGTGCCTATTGGGATCCAATATGCCCCCTCCATGCGTGCTCAAAGGCGCAGTTTGCTTGAATGAATCATCCAAGCAGGCTGCACATCTGGTCGTGCCTGATTGTCGTTGAAAATAAGAAGCAGTCAGCCTGCTTGAATGATTTGTTGCCGGTAGCAGTCTGCACGTGTGCCTCAGAACCGTCTTGGCGAATGAAAAAGTGTCCTCTCGATCTCGACTGCAAGCTTGGCTTCCCTTTGTGTTGACTGTCCCCCAGTAAATCCCTCTATACGAAAGCTGTGTTAAAGCCACCACGCCCCAGTCTGTTCTTAACTCTCCACTGGAAAGCTAGCTTGCATGTGACCACCCCAAGGCAGCAGCTCCACGAGAGACGAGACAATCCGACAGCTAGAGCTGGAACTTCGTGACCTGCAGAACCTCGAAATAATTTACATGACTGACTTCCCAATATGCCACACATTTCAAACCTCCCCTGTCCAAGGAACGTTTTGGCAGCTCGCCGTGCAATTCGTGAAGCAGATGCAGCAGCCAGGCTTCGGCAAGAGGGTGCAAGTCCGAGCCGCCTGACATGTCAAGTGGGTTTCGAGCGATCTGTTCGTTGTCTTGCATGTGTCTCTAGATTCGTATACAATATATCTGGTGAGATTGAGGTGGTGACCCTGCGGCGATGGACACGTGCCCCATTGACATCATGGGGCTCGGCTCTTCCATGGAGGTTGATGATATGATTTGTATCAGTGATGATGAAGCCCCAGCTGCTGAGCCGACCTCCCCTAGGGTTTGTCATGAAGATGTGTATGAAGACTTCAGTGCTTTCGTTGGTGAAGTGGAGAAAGAGTTGGAGCAACAACTTCTCGAAGATCAGACTCCCGCTCCCATGGACTCCACGATGATGGGTGATGCTGCAGAAACCGATCCTGCAGGTGAGGCAGCAACAAAGGCTTGCACGATGAATGGTGATCCTACAGAAGCCGACCCCACAGGTGAGGCAGCAACAAAGGCTTGCACGATCAAAGGTGATGCTACAGAAGCCGATCCCGCAGGTGAGGCAGCAACAAAGGCTTGTGCGATGAATGGTGATGCTACAGAAGCTGAGCCCGCAGGTGAGGCAGTGAATGATGCCGAGCCCGTAGGTGAGGCAGAAGCTGACAGTGGTGCCTCCAAAGATGCTCCGGATGTGGCAGTTAACCTTGTGACCGCAGCTGGGGGGTTGGATGTTCACAACTTCCAGGCGGGCTGAAGATTTAAGCCGGTCTGCAGCTTCCGGGAGGTTTTATAAAGTGGCTATAATATATACAAATATAATATTTCATACATAACTGCAGATTTAAAAGCAACCCATGTGTTGAGGCTTCGGTCGAAGGGGTATGAGTGTACAAATATACACCTATAATATATACCTATAATATATATATGTATATACATACATATATACATATATATATATAAATGCTTTATTATATATATTTATGCATTCATGGGTCTGTAAGTTTTCCTGAGCACTGGCTGGAAAGTAAAGGTCGATAAGATTTGTATATATATATATATATATATATATAGAGAGAGAGAACCATATAAAATGTGTGATACCTATATATAGAACCGAATCTTCCGAAGACAGGCCTTATCTAAACCCGGCTAATTAATTGTGTCCCTGCAGGAAGCTCCGTCGCGGATTGAGCAAGCTCGCCTGGGCGAGGCAAGTAAACCTCGTCGCGGCCGTGCTAGTGGGGGCCAGGGGAGGGGTAGAGGTCGGGGTCGTGGTGCCAAGGCTGCTAAAGATGTAGATCTTGCAACTCCGAGTCCGAAGGCAACCAGACCCACACGTGCCGAAGGTACTGACCTCGAGACCCCAGAAAAGGGATCCAAGCCATCAACCAAGAAGCCTAAGACACCCAAAGCTATGAAGTCATCCGGGAAGCCGACGAAAAGCAAAGCTGCAGATGCAGCCGCCGAGACGCCCAGCAAGGGGAAGGTGGATGAGGCAGCAGCCTCGGGAGCCACGAGGAAGCGCCGACGGATTGAAAATTTCGAGGAAAAGAGCTTTGCTGGAAGGCCCCGTCCTAAGGGAGAGGACACTGGTCTCCGGTGGCAAATGATCCGAGATGTTTTCTTTGAGAAGATCCACTCGCAGTTCCGATACCCCTCGCAACACCAGGACGGGATTGTTTGCTTCAGCATACTAACTATTCCAGCGATCGATGCAGGAAGCTTGGGAATTCTAGGGTTTCAGGTTTACAGAATCGATATAGTTAGGGGTTTAGGTGTTTAGGAGTTTAGGGGTTTAGGGGTTTAGGGGTGTAGGGATGTAGGGGTGTAGGGGTTTAGGGGTTTAATTGGGTTTGATAAATTTAATATATATATATATATATATATATATAGATGTACATGATCCGAAGTCCAGGTTTCTTATTGAATGCCAACCGCACCACGAACCCTTGCATGCCTCCTATATATATATATATATATATATATATTTGTTTTTGTTATGATCAACCCTATAAACCTCACTCCAAAACCCCTGAACTCTCAAACCACACAAGGACTCTGCTGCTCCCTAAATAGAGAAAGATCTAGCAATCTATGACTATATGACGTTTTCAGGGTACACATGAAATAGCCCATTATCGTAATCTTGTACATGTTTATAAAGCCCAATATATGCCATCGACCCCTGTACAAGGATCCCTTCTGGCTGCTAGTGAAGCCGCAACTGCCCCAAAAGGGGACGCCTGATGACTACAAGAAGATTGCCCGCAAAGCCGCTCGTGAGTATCTGCTGACAAATGTAGCAGAAGAGCGATGACCAGCATTTTCAGTTACTGTGCTCGTTTGCAGAAGCAACGCTAGCACTCTGCTATAGGCCTGCCATTTACTTACGTGCCAGAACCTGCATAGAAATATGCGGGCAACACGTTTGCTGGCATGCTGCAGTTTCAAATTCAATAGGATGCTCTGAAGCTTCACAGATTATGGGGTTAGAGAAAAGCCTTTGCAGCATCATCGGCAGCATCGCTTATGTTCGTGCATGAAGCAGAGCCGACTGCAACCTTGATGAAACAATCAATCATAATCCCTGACAGCTTAAGGCATGCGGCGTGGGCAAAGCTTCCTGGCCAAGCAAGGCCGACTGGAGATCAGCCTGGGCTGGCTTGTTTGATGCATGCTGGGATGTCATCCTGTGATGTGAGCATGCAACCCCCTTCTGCCAGAGCTTTTGATTAAAGGGGGTCGAGGATAGCTGCCATGATTTCTTCGGATGCACTGGAATCCTGTGTTCGACGCTTGGTGGGCTTGAAGGTCCCTAAGGCATCCTGGCATTAAATTCTTTTGGAGCAAATTCTACGTTAACCTGTTAACTTCGATCCCCCTATATAATATGTATATGTACATATATACATATATATATATATACACTATAGAGCCGAGGCATTCCTGGCAGTGGTGCTGATGATGGCATGCTCTGACCCCTTGCCTCAGTCCTTTCGGGAACCGAATGGATTCGACCTTATCGAGCTCTATGCGGGACGAGGGCGAATTTCACGCATGGGCCGGGCAGCTGGGTTCCGGGTTATCACAGCCGACATGATCTATGATTCTCCTTGGAACGCCAAAAAATCAGCTTTGAACATATGTGGATCAGCTTGTTTTGCGCCACATGCTCGCAACAGATTACATATTAAGCATGGGTAAATAAACCGTATGTAACCGATGTTCGATCTTGCATATGTATATATATATATATATATGTGTATATCCTGGATATGTTCATATGTACTGGTGATATGCATGTATATATATACACATATATATATACACACACATACATCTATATATATATATACATGTATATATATATATATATATATATATATATGTCTTCCCTTCTCAATCCTTGGCAACCCAGACCGATCTTGCTCCACTTATACCTATAGATAGCCAAACCGAAGTAACTCCCAAAACCCATAAACCCAACCCTAAACCCCGCACAGCCTCCCCGAAACCGTACAATTTGCTTCGTAATCATACACTGCCAAACCCTCCCAAACCCAAGCCTGCATGAACGAAGCTACGGTTAGCCCATCCGAGGCTTGCCGTTCTCATGGTGCTCTGCGGAAATCCAGAAGGGGCATTCGCTGCTATTGGAATTGAATGCAGCTCTTTCGTCTTAATCAATTCCGGGACCTCAGGTCGATGCCCTTTCAATGGCTGGGGGGATGTGTCAAAACCATCGGTGCATGTTGCGAACATGGGTACTTCAAGGTGCCTATATACTTTCAAGTTGCAATCCATGACTGGGTTTTGGAGGGGCTGGTATATAATCCCTTGCCCGCTAATTGCTGCCGGGAGGTCCATCCTCCTGCTCGTCCTGCTGAGCTGCCTGGGACACGTGTGGTATGTGGAGAACCCAGGGTCAACAAGAATCCATCACTACCCTCGTATGCAGTGGCTGTTCAAAGTGCTGTCTCAGGCTGGAGTCCCTGCCACTAGTCAGTTCATTCAATCCTTCGTGATGTGCACATTATCCACGCAGACTGCTTGGCATTTGGCCATATAACGAACTGAGGTTTATGTGCAACGGTTTTGGATGGCTCATCATGGGCACCCGTGTCCTAAGCGAAGTGTACTCTGGAGCAATTCCCCTTCCATCAAGGCTTTCGACTTGGGGAAATTGGTTCGGAAGGAGTTCAAGCCCAAGTACAAAACGGGGCACCAGTACACGGATCAGCATGGCCGAAGGTGTTTCCAGGGCACGAAGGTATTGAAGTCTACAGGGTGGCACGGTTGCAGAAAAACAATGTTACGATCAGTCCTAGTGACTGTTGTACATCTAGATTATAAATATCTTTACACCTATTAGGATTGGGATCGGAAGACCTTTCAGCACGTGCTGGCCTTGCTCTAAGGCATTAATGAACTTCTCTGGAAATCAAAACGGTCTGGGCTACATACACCTGCCGAGGATTTACCCTGCCATCTTCGCTCGCCGGGTGGTGAACATGGTCCTGCCTGCACGTGAGCTTCCGCGGCCCAAGCCCGCCGAGGCCACCGCCTTTGTTGAAAGGGTTTGTAGAATTAAATCCCATTCTTGGCAGTTTCCGAAAATAGGGGTACCTTATTTCGGTGCCCGGTTTAATAAGGATCCTATGGGGGTACTATAGGGTTCCCTATGCTCGGTATATATCTATCTTAAAATCTATTGGGGCTCAGGTCGTAATCCTCGATTTAAGTACACATCGATCTTGACCATAGCAGCACACTATATATAGAGGGAGGATATTATGCACACGAGGATTTGTTTGGGTTTTCATTTGTGGCTTTGTACTCCTGAGCATGAACCTAATATCCCAAACCCAAAAGGCCCAAAACCCCAACCCTACCCCCCAAACCCTGCTCCCTGTATATATATATATATATACACATATATTTCACAAATTATGTAAAGGTTACAAAGCACGTTTGTAAGATTCCACACACTCTATATCCCAAGGCCAAAAAACCCCAATACTATACATCGATACTTATATATATATATATATATACAATATGAACTATGTATGAACTCTTGCAAAGCTAAAGCCTAAAGACTGTGGTTGGGGCTCTTATTTGCAGCTTTTACGTTATTATATACATGTAATGTTGGTCGCCAATATTATGATTCGGGTTGGCCCTTCCAGACCCGGGACCCGATGTATTCCCCAGAGAGCCTAGACTAGTAAATACTAGGCACCCCAAGCTGTGAAACCCAAGCCCACTCAGGCTTCTCCTGAGAAGAATATCTATGACTTGTTCGGGGACCTTTCTTGGAGGGCTGCAGATGAGTGGTCTGAGGCTGACCTTGGAGAGGTCGTTCTTTATCTGAGGACCAGTGGGCTGCTGAAGCTGCCGCAGCAGTTGAAATCTTTGATTCCTAAGTATACGTACCCTTGATTAAAGCATACAGGCTGTGTGTTTCCACGCAGTATATGATGCACTAATTTGATTGCATAACTCGAAACGACCCAAACGGGCCGGATCATGCCGCTCGGAGCACAAATTCATGCTAAATCGCAGTTCCGGGACCCACATGCAGCTTGGAGTGCAAAAGTCATGCTAAATCGCATTTTCGGCTGGATTCTCGTGTTTTGCCAGGTTTGTCGCGAAACCCACCTCCGAAACAATAGCGGAAATCCGCGGTACAATGGCGGAAATCCGCGGTACAATAGCGGAAATCTGCGGTAGGCCCCCGGCTATGTATTTTTGACATTCGACAACTGCAGATTTTGCTCAAAATGCACTCACAGGGCAGTGCTGAGACTGTGCCCAGCTCCACCCGCACGTTGGGTCGGGGCATGGCTCTTTTAGATAATATCGCCAATGATGGTGTGGTCAAACAAGAACCACCGGATGATGAAGCAGAGATTATGAAACAAATTCAGGTGGGCCACTTGCTGAAATCCTGATTCTGATTTGTCGAGCCTAGGATATCTAGAGAAACATGCTGAAATCAGGCATTGTCCTCGAAGCTTGAGAAGATGAAAGGCACGGGTGTCCAGGACAGGCATTGGTTGTGTGGTTATGGTGTCTGTTGACTGCTGAGTGTGATATGCATATATATATATACATATATATATATATAGATAGATATACTATATATAATATCTATATTTTATACGTATATATACACATATATTATATCTAGTTCACTATATATATATATATATATATGTATAAACCAAAAATATATTCATGGCTCGATCCCTACATATGTGATAACTATATGTAAAACAGAACAGGAGCCTCCAGCCGCAGCCGAAACAGAAGAAACCCAAGTTGATGCAGATAACACAGCAGAGGAAGGACTAGATGATGACGAAGCCAACAGGTTAAAGGAACAGAAGAAGCAGCAGCTAGAAGCAGCCAGACAGAAAGCCGCAGCAGCAGAAAAGGAACGACAAAGGCTTGCAGCAGCAGGAAAGAAACTGGCAGCAGCAGAAAAGGAACGACAGGAGCTGGCAGCAGCAGAAAAGAAGGCCGCAGCAGCAGAAAAGGAACGACAGGAGTTGGCAGCAGCAGAAAAGAAGGCCGCAGCAGCAGAAAAGGAGCGACAGGAGCTAGCAACAGCAGAAAAGAAGGCCGCAGCAGAAGAACAGGAACGACAGGAGTTGGCAGCAGCAGACAAGAAGGCAGCAACAGCAGAAAAGGAACGACAGGAGCTAGCAGCAGCAGAAAAGAAGGCGGCAGCAGCAGAAAAGGCTCGACAGGAGCTAGCAGAGGCAGAAAAGAAGGCTGCAGCAGCAGAAAAGGCTCGAAGGAGCTAGCAGAGGCAGAAAAGAAGGCTGCAGCAGCAGAAAAGGTTCGACAGGCACTAGCAGAGCAGAAAAGAAGGCTGCAGCAGCAGAAAAGGTTCGACAGGAGCTAGCAGCAGCAGAAAAGAAGGCCGCAGCAGCAGAGAAGGAACGACAGGAGCTAGCAGCAGCAGAAAAGAAGGCCGCAGCAGCAGAAAAGGAACGACAGGAGCTAGCAGCAGCAGAAAAGGAGGCCGCAGCAGAAGAACAGGAACGACAGGAGTTGGCAGCAGCAGAAAGGAAGGCCGCAGCAGAAGAACAGGAACGACAGGAGTTGGCAGCAGCAGAAAGGAAGGCCGCAGCAGAAGAGCAGGAACGACAGGAGTTGGCAGCAGCAGAAAAGAAGGCCGCAGCAGAAGAGGAACGACAGGAGTTGGCAGCAGCAGAAAAGGCCCGAAGGATGGAGCTTGAAGCACAAGCAGCCGCAGCAGCAGCAGAGCTAGCAGAATTGGAGGCTGCCCAGCAGTTCCTACGCAACCAAACACAAGAAGCCAGGGCAAGGGAGGACTTGGCAAACAGACGTGTTGCCGAAGTGAAAAGAAGGAACCAGGAAGCAGAAGCAGAAGCAGCTGCTGCTAAAGCAAGGCGGATTGAGGAGCAAATCCAAGCAGAGGCCCAGCAGGCCGCAGCCGAGATCACCGAAGCATTGCAAGATGAGCAGCAGTCGGCGCAGATGCTCGCAAGGGCACAAGCTGATGCCAGGCAGTATGAGGAGAAGTTGGCAATGGCCAGATTCAAGCTCGAAACAGCAAAGGCAAGCATGAACAGCACGCCGCAAGCACCACCCAACCGGAGCTCGACAGAAGTTTGGACACAGGATGCCCAGCCCCCGCAGCGATGCCTTTCTTTCGGAGGTTGCACCCCAACCGAGCCATGCCCGCCGACCCCAGAGCACACCACACCCGAGCCCCAAGCCGCTCCCACCAGAGTAGCACCTACCCCCAATATGCCGCCAAGCAGAAGAGAGACTGCAGAAGCACCCAGCCGGCTTACCCTGCTCAAGCGAATCAACCGGGCAATGGAGCCCAATGCCAAAGGTGAGTTCAAAGTTTCTGAGGAGATCAGATTGCAATGGAAGGGGGCAGGCAAAGAGGGTGTGTTCAAGCTCTTCGCCGAGGTTGGCAACAACACCGAAGCATTCATAAAAAGGTTCTCGGCCACCCGGGACTCTGAAAGAGAGATGCAGATCGGTGTGGAGTTTGAGTTTCTGACGAAACAGGTGTATGGGACTGCAAGAAGCCTAAAACCCTAACCCGTATAAAACCATAAGAACAACAGTAGGAATAAATCATGCAGTATATATATATATATATATATATATATATAGCTAGTATACTATCTAGACCATGATGATAAATATAAGAAAAATAGATAGACCATGATAAAACTATACGAGTACCAGATACCATAAAACTGCTTATGCCTATACTATCTATATCTATATCTACCTATCTGTCTATATCTGTTTATAACTGTCTATCTGTCTATCTACCTATCAATTGATCAATCAATCAATCCATCAATCAATAGAACTATAAATATATCTGTATATATATATATATATATATATTATGTGTATATATATATAGACATATATATATATATATATGAGTCTTTGTTACATTATGGTGTAATATAATATATCACATTATAAACCATGAAAGGCACACATGAAATATGTATGTATGTATGTATATATATATATATATATATGTGCATATATATATATATATATATACTCTATAGAGAACTCAGGAAATGGCCGACGACCAAAACATGTCACCGTGCCTCTTCTGAAGCTTAACTGGAGCTCCCATTTGTTATATATATATATATATATACCTTAATTCTCATCTGCCGCCCCAAGGGATGAAATTGACGCTTGTGTGGCCGAAGCCGAGAAGAACCCGGAAAAGATGATGAAGTTGCTTGTCTACTTCAAAACACAATCTTGTTCACTGATTTATAATCTCTACAAAACATACTTGTCCCTGATACGAAGAAACACCCCATGAACCACTTCAAATTCTGAGCGCTTAGATCCTAGCCTGCATGCACGACTAAGGAAGCACCCGTACAAGAGAAACACGTGGCGATACTATTGCGAGCTGAAAGTCAAAGGCCACAAGAAGTGTCTGAGCTGCTATCCTACTTACGGGGTTTGGGAGTTTAGGGTTTATATTATTAAGCATAACCTGTTGTCACAAAAGACCGGCCCGGTGCATATCTTAGGGACACAGAACGTATCAACCTCAGAGACGAGAGCCACTTTGATGATACTTCGGGCAAGCTTGACATGGACCTCGACGCCACCGCCCTGCCAAATCTTATGATTGAGGAAGGCCCCTTAGCCCTAACTATTTGATGTTCGACCAATGACTATATAGCTAGAATCCTGTACAGCCCAGGAGCAACCCCGGACGGAGCCGCAAGCCTAGCCCAGAACTCCCACAACGAAGAGCTTGCGAAGACGATCAAGCGGCTTGGGTTTCCGGAGCTCGCGGAAGCAGCCAAGCCTTCCAGCATCATAGGTAAAGCGCTGGATGCGATTACGAAGAGGCTGAAGATGATGGGTGATGTTCGTTGTTTGTACGAAAAGATCGCTGCACCCAGCGAGCTTATGTCGAAGATCTGCCCTCAGCTACTGAACCAAACCGTATGTAAATGCACTCTTAAACATGATTGCTCCCAGGATGAAGCTTCGACTGGATGCGATGTACACCAGCCTCGACGAAGGCCATGATCGGCTACAAGCTTCCCAGTCCAAGGGCTTACTGGATGGCTTCACAAAGCAGCTCTTTGTTGGCACTGGTGTAATTAGGATGTTCAAAATCAGGCTTGGGGTGATGTTCATGTTCCCAGAATTCCAGCACAGAACACGATGCCATCACGCATACTGTATATGTACTCCCTGTTATAGCCCCACATTCGAGCATCCACTTGGATCCTAGTTGTTTGCACACCGAAATCAGTAAGGATCGGATCTGCATCTGATAAGTGCAACCGACTCCTGACCAAGAACCACTAGACTAAAATAACCCAGATCGGCATCTTCGCATCTAGCTAAAACCTGAACCCAGATCCGAAGCTTGAATCTTGTAAGCCAGCAGCCACACCCTGAAATCTGGAAGCACATCGGCCTTTCGCGGGCCAAGGGAAGTTGTGTGGCCAACCTCGGATCATACTATATATAGTACAGCAGTATACAGTAATACAGTTAGTTGCAGTAGTAGAGTAGTGAGTATGGTATGGCAGCAGACATTGTAGCAGCAGCAGCAGCAGCAGCGGCAGGAGTAGTATAGCAGTAGTATATAGCAGTATAGTAGTAGTATAGTAGTAGTAGTAGTAGTATAGTAGTAGTAGCAGTAGCAGTAGCAGTAGCAGCAGCAGCAGCAGCAGTAGTAGTAGTAGTAGTAGCAGTAGTAGTAGTAGTAGTAGTAGTAATAGTAGTAGTAGTAGTAGTAGGAGTATAGTGGTAGTATAGCAGTAGTAGTATATAGTAGTATAAGTGTAGTATATAATATATATATATATATATATATATAGCAGCAAGGTACGTCGTTGTATATGTAGTAGCAGCAATAGCAGTCGCAATTGCCATTCACACTGGCAGTGGCAGCAATAGCATTCGTAATTAGAGTACAGTAGTAGCAGTAGTAGCAGTATAGTAGTAGTAGTAGTAGTAGTAGTAGTAGTAGTAGTAGTAGTAGTAGTAGTAGTAGTAGTAGTAGTAGTAGTAGTAGTAGTAGTAGTAAGTAGTAGTAAGTAGTAGTAAGTAGTAGTAAGTAGTAGTAAGTAGTAGTAAGTAGTAGTAGTAGTAGTAGTAGTAGTAGTAGTAGTTAGTAGTAGTAAGTAGTAGTAAGTAGTAGTAAGTAGTAGTAAGTAGTAGTAGTAGTAGTAGTAGTAGTAGTAGTAGTAGTAGTAGTATAGTAGTAGCAGTAGTAGTAGTAGTAGTAGTAGTAGTAGTAGTAGTAGTAGTATAGTAGTAGTAGTACTATAGTAGTAGTCTACGACTATAGTAGTAGCTGTAGCAGTGGTAGTAGTGTATAGTAGCAAATATCGCGATATAGTAGCAGTCGTAGTATAGTGGTAGTAGTAGTTCGTAGTATAGTAGTATATATATATAATATATTCGAATTAATGCAAGTGCTAGTATACCTGTACTATATAGTACTATATATATATATATATATAGTTTTACCAGTACTTGTACTTTTTAGTACTACATGGCACACCACCACTAAGTATAGTTATACTTCTTGAGGCCGCGAGGTAGGATTGGATATTTTCTGTACATTCGTGGTGGATTCGTACATAGCCCGCAGTTGTCAACGGTGATTTACATTAGCGAAACCCTATACTAGCAAGTTAAAGTCCGCACAGCCCTACCTGAGCCCTGAACCCCAAGCTCAAACCTTGAGACCCAAATCCTAGGCGCTGGTATAACCGATGTTTTCAAGAAACAAGTTTAGCCAAAGTTTCCGACCCCGAATGTATGTAGTCAAAGCCCTTGCATTTCAACCATACGAGGATGGTCTAACACAGACCCTTTTTACATATCAAGATTTAGTTAGGATATGTGCAGTCTAGTCCCGCCAAGGGATGAGAATATGCTCGATGAGACAATGGCCGCACTTCGCCGGATGTGCCACATCTGCAGAGTCATGCTGTGGGAACATAGGAGTATATTCAAGAAGCTGGGATCTAAGGGTGATAGAGGCCAGTGGCTTGGAGAGCCGAGCCAGGACGGGTTTGCATACAAAGCCTAGGATTATTGCTTTGTGGTGCTGTTGTGCACATGTGTTTATGTTTGCCGTTGTTTGTTCAGGAACCTGTTATAAAGGAATGATATAGTGGCTCAGGGGCTCAGGGTCGGGGACTTCGTGTTATATAGTGACTGTTCTTAAGTTTATCATGTAATACTCAAGATAATTGTATATCTATATATATATGCATGTTATATGTGTACATATGTATATATGTATATATATATATATATATATATCGATATGTATAAATCCCGAATCTCCAAAACCCCTAAGTTCCGAGATCCCTCATAAGAACAAATCCCGATCCTTAAGCCCCCTGTATAACCCCAAGATTATAAAGCCCCGGAAGCTTGCAACCAACAATGACAATGCAGGACACTCCTGCCAAAGGCCATCAAGCATGAGGAGCCAGAGGATCCCAAGCTGAAGTCAGCACCCAAATCTAAGCCTAAGGGTGGAGCTAAGAGGGTCAAGGCGAAGGCTGCCCCGAAAAAGCGGGGGGCTCCTGATGATGGCGATGACTGAGTGATGCATTGAACTGTGCGACTATATGGAAATAGATCTGCATGAATCATTTACTTGGGTTCTACGCTGTAGCAGAAGTGCACAAGCAATGCTTCACGTATGAATGTTTTGTCTCACCCCGGTGTGGGTGCTCAAGACCTGCAACCCCGGAAGCACAGCCCAGGGGATGCGACGAGGGGAAAATACTAAGATCTGCTTTTGCCGAATGCATGTGCGCCACACATTAAATCATCATATGTGCCCATGAATGTGGCCAGGTGAAGAGAAACCCTCAGAGTTACTCCGTACGCTGGCTGAGCGGGTTGCAGATGGGGCCAGGGCCCTAGGGGTTCGTTGGCTCTAGATCCCTAACATGCTCGGATGGTACAATATCCAATCTTACAAGCTTCGTTGCATATATATATATATATATATATATACACATAGATAGATAGATATAGAGCATATATATATATATATATATACCCGATCAAGTTAATGGACTGCTTGAAAGCCTGGGGCTGTAAACCCTAAACCTAAAAAACCCTTGTCCATTCAGGCCCCAGCTGCGATCGTGGGTGAGTCTGCAGCAGCTGCCATCAAAGATGGCCTGAGGAACAGCAGCATGCAGGCAGCTGCCAAGGTAGATAAATCACATTCGGAGAGGAATGCCCATCGGCTGTTCAATCGGTTCGGGCTTAGTTTGAGGGTCAAGGTTTCTGAATTACACGTACCTGGCAGCAGCTCCTGCGATGATGTAAGCATTCCTTATATCAAGGTGTCTGACTATGTCACGTTTCTATTGAACACGTATCCTCAGTTGATCTTGGCAGGAAACAAGATAGGGAAGGAAAGTCAGACTGCATGCAGGGTATTTTGGCAGCGCTTCCGAGGATACCACCCAGAGCATATCCTGTTTCAGAACCCACCCAAGGATTTGGATCCCGAGTTCACAATCCCTTTATTTCTTCATGGAGACAAAGGAAGATCGCTGCAGAAATCACCGGTGTTCGTTTTCTCGTTCCAATCTCCATGGAGCATGCCGGATCGCATTTTGCGTAAGTGTGCCTACGACGATAGGGATCGCAATAAGGTTCATGGGCATCTTAACACCACATGCAGTGACAGATTGCGGTTCTCCGGCAAAAGGTCTCACACTGAGATGTCTGGATGTCCCATAGGCCACCCCGAACGGTACTGCCCAACAAATGACCAGAGACACAACGCCAAGGGACACTCCTATCTCAGCAGGTTTTTGATTTGCGCCTGCACATCGAGGTTGTACAAGCGCAATGAAGCAGCACTGCCCGCCATCCTCAAAGAGACGGCACGGGAGCTAGAGCAGTTGTTTCAGCATGGGATCATTACATCCTCGGGTGTCCGCATCAGATTCGCTCTAGTGGGTTGCAAGGGTGATGCCGAATGGCATTTTGAGGCAGGGCAATTCAATAGGTCGTATCATAGGACGGGCCCCAAAAACGACCTGATGATTTGCCCCTGGTGTTCAGCCGGTGCACCCGGCCTGCCGTTCACTGATGCCAGTGATGAGCCATGCTGGGCTCCAACGGTGGGTAGCTCGGACCCATGGCATGCGGAAGATCTTCCACCCCTGAATCATGCACCGTTTTCCGGTAACTTCCGTGCATTCATGTACAAGTTTGACCCGTTCCATGTCTTGAAATTCGGCGTCTTTCGAGACTTCATTGCAAGCTCTATCATCCGCATGTGCTGCATGGGTCTGTTTGATGCTGCAGGTGATTCTGTTGCAATCGAGAATCGTCTAGAGCGATGTTTTTCGAGCTTCAAGCTTTGGCAACTGGCCAACAAGAAGTGTGCAGCCACAAAGGGCTTCACGAAGGACAACATGAAGTTCAAGTCTTATAAGTCTTTCTGCTGGATCAATGCTAAAGGCAGTGATGTTACGCTTCTTCTTATGTGGCTTGACTTTGTGACCGGCTTGTTTTGTGGCATGCATGATTCACATGTACTACTTGCCATTCACCAGGCCGCCCGAGGCGCCTTGGATTATATTGGAGTGATGCACGGGCATCCGTTATGGTTGCGACGAACTTGTGCACAAGTCCAAGTACATGCTGGGTACACCTTTGTTCGTGGCTACCTGTGGCTAGCCAATGATAGCATGCAGCAAGGCTTGGCAGGATATCGCTTACGCCCCAAACTCCACTACATGTGTCACCTCCTCAAAGAAACCCAAGATCAGCTGCTCCGTGGTTCCGAATACATTCTGTCCAGTGCAGCATTCTTATGTGAAACTGATGAAGACTTTATCGGTCGTGTGAGCAGAACATCCAGAAGAGTAGCTGCACGGACAGCATGCTACCGCACAACACAACGGTATCTTACGAAGATGCGGGCGCTTTTAGATCGTTTGCAGCTCGGCTGATTTTGTGAGCAACTTAAGTTTAATCTTTAAACTATATAAACCCGAAAACTCTGAACCCATAAATTCTCAAACTCCCTGACCTTATAAGACCTTGGGTGAGCAATTATCCCTTTAGAGCCGTATAGTTCCCTTAATGTATACACCCTAAAAGATCGATCACCCTAAACCGGAGAGACTATCCCTCAGCATCCTCTATAGGTGCTTAGCTTAGCCTTATTATATCCCTATATCAATATATATATATATATATATATATATGTATATGTATGTATGTATATATATATATATATATATTTATATTTATACACCTTTAATCTCTAAGGCACGCCCTGTAGAAAAGCCCTGAGCATCAATAGCATATATATGTGTATATATATGTATATATATATATGTATATATGTATATATAGATTTGAATGATTGGGCGGTACAGGTGATCATTGCACAAATATACCATAATGTCAAGATCGCAGTCGTGCTGCATGCGAGCCAGAGCCTGCTTCCGACTTGCAGGTCGTTTCGGAGTGCTTCAGGAAAGAATGGGTGCACAGCCGCAGTTGTCATCATTGTCGGTCTGTCGTCGTCGTCGCCGATGAATCCATGGGCTATATAGCCAGGGATTAGACATGGTACCATTATATATATATATATACTATTATATTATACAACAGACCCCGCAAAACCACAAATTACCTTGTTATAAAACAATAGCGTTTATTTTTGGAAAGCGCGTTTATTCCAGGCAACAGGGACGATTACATTAATTCGGCGCACACGGGTTGTGAGTCAGGGTACTCGTGAACATGATATCACTACTTTAGCTATATACTGGAAGGACTACTGGAAACAATGGCAATAATCATAATCATCATAGCCACCAAAACTCATTTCATAATCAGATAAACAGACGACAACATGGATAATAATACTACAACATTGATGGCAAGTAGGTTTTGACGGCCGCAAGAAGTGACGAAGCGAATGGAGCCAAAGGTACAGCCTGCAACTGCTTGGGATCACAGTAGCTCGGTGCCAGCCACTTCGATAGTAGCTTCCAGTCCTCTTCCGTTAGCTCTCCCAAATCCGGCAAAGGCTCCTCCACTTCTTGTGGCCCAACCTTCAAAATGGTTTAGGGTTCAGGGAACAATTCTGCTGGCTACAAACATACGCAATGAGAACAACAGTCATAACAATAATACGAAATACCAATAAAAGCACTGATACAATGCTCGGAGTGGCAGCATAATAGCAATGATAGCGACAATACTACTCTTAGTTGTCAGGACAATAATAAGAAACCGTCATTTTGGCACAATCACAACCGTAATTATGGCAATCAACGAGAACTAACGACAAGGAATGATGTCGCTGATGATGTTTATGTTGTTTTTGATGTTGATGATGATGATGATGCTGATGATCATGATGATGATGATGACGGTGACGATGATCATGATGTTGGGGATGACGATACCCGCTATATCAACAGTGCTACTCCAGTATTCGCTAAACCTCAAACCGTACTTCCTCTTCACAACAAAAGCCCAAAGCTGCTACTCCAAGATCCCTCAGCCCTGAACCGAAACAAACCCTAAACCCCTAAAACGGTTTAGGGTTTAGGGTTTAGAAATCCGAAACTCTTACTCCAGCCTTTCCGGCTCCAGCTCGAGTGTCCAAGATTTGCTGCAAGGTCGCGAGGTCGCGTTGCCCGAAGTTTCGGGTCTGCTCCAAGCTCGGGGCGTGGAGCCACCCTGGAGTCCCCAAAAACTCACAGTAAACTGGACTTGCCTATAATAGACTTTCTGAATTTTTAATCAGGGTCTAGGGTTTAGGGGTAAGGGCCTTAGATAAGGGATTCTTTCGGGGCTTAGGGGTTGTCAAGGGTTTTGGAGGGTCTTTGGGCTTTGGGGTCCTTGGAGCCCCCCAAGAAGCACATAAGCAAAAGCAAGGAGAGGGATATCCCATCTAAAACCCCCCTATCATGAAGTAGTTCATATATAATCCCCAACAATAGTCCCCAAAACCCATCCCCCCATTCCCTAGTAAGAACCAGACGATAATCCTGGGGGCCTTGGAGAGAGACGCGCGCGCGGTCTCCTCGGACCTCGCGGACTGCATGGAAGGAGACGCCGGGCTCGACGAGAAAGATGGCCAATGAGTCAGACATCGGCAAAAGCTCCTTGATGTGGCTATGCCCCCGCCAGCCTAAACCCCTATGCCAATACCCTGAAACGTAAATGCTATATACCGGCTATACCACGCCACCCAAAACCCCTATACCCTGAAACGTAAATCCGTAAAGGGAACTCTCCCATCTCTTCGGAACTCCAATCACCCCATGGGGCTCCTTGGAAGGAATGCTTGCTGGGGTCCCTTTCTGCGCAGGATTCGAGGGGAAAAGCTCCAGCGCGCCACCCTCCTCTTTTGACCAGTCCTCTTCAGGGGGCTTTAGGCTCAGGCTTCAGGTTGTATTTTATTTATTTTTATTTTTTAGGCTTCAGGTTTTTTTTTTTCAGGCTTCAGGGTTTAGGGTTTGGGGTTTCGTGTTTAGGGCTTTAGGGGGTGGAGGATCCAGTTTTTGACGATTCCTCTTCCGGGTCCGTCATGTAGTAGATGAAGGAGACCTTTCGAGTCCCAATGACATCCTTACTTGTCTCAGGCTGCTCTTAGGGGTTTTTGGGGTTTAAGGTTTAGGAGGGGTTTAAGGTTTAGGTTTTATAGGGGTTTAGGGTTTAGGGTTTTACGAGACTGAAGGTATGAACCTGGGGAGTCTAGAGCTCATAGGGACGATCGTGGCCCCCAAAAAGGTTAGATACACCCCAAGGCGTAAGCCCCTAACCCCAAAACGATTGAACAACAAAATCCTAAACCATCTGAAGACTACTGAGCATCGTCATGGCAAAGAAGATGAGAGCCCTTGGTGTAGACCTGTGTAGCCAAGTCCACCCTTTCGGAGAGCTCACCGCAACCCGTGATCTCCTCAAAGGGGGAAAGGAGGGACCCTTAATGGGGACCCCTACCCTATGATGGGCTATATAATAAGTATATAATAGCTATATTAAGGGTATATATACCTAGGGGTCCTTACTAGGGTCCCTCCTTTTACCCTTGGATCAACGAGATTCAGGGCTCTGGGTTTGGGGGCTTTGGGGGCTTTGGGGGTTTGGGGCTTTGGGGCTTTGGGTTGAGGAATCCGGCTTCCACGTTTGGGGCGTAGCTAGAAGGGCTTGGGCTTGGGGTTTGGTGCGTTTTGGGCTTCGAAGCTCGGGGTTTAGCGTGTCGGGCCGAGGTTTCGGGCTGAAAGGCTTAGGTTTTAGTGTGGGAATTCTAGATACCCTAAACCCTAAAACCCTAAAGCCCGAAGCCCTAAACCCTTACCCATCAAGGATCTCCTGAATGAGGCTGCGGTAGTCCTGGGACCCGAAAAGCCGCGCGATCGACTGCAAAGCAGAAGTCTTTCTTTCGATACGACGCTTCTTTGGAGACGACTCCTCCGCAGTGGGCGGCCGGCGGGAGGGGGGGGGGGGGGGGGGGTGGAGGTCGGAATCGGTAGGAATGGTGCCAATAGTTATATGAGTCTCCTATACCACCAGAAACACAAGGAATAGAGCTTTGAAGGCTTGGGATTTCGGGCTTGCAGCTTAAAGAAGACGGTTGTACTCAATAGGGGCTTGAGGTTTAGGGTTCAGGGTGTCCTGGAACCTCGCTAGAATGGCGAGGGAAGGACTCCTCCAGCTTTAATTGTACACCCTGAAACCCTGAACCCCTCATAGGAGCCCTTCTGCAGGCGCCAGAGATTCCTTTTGTTTGCCCTCCAGGAAGCCCTTCCGTGTAAATGCCCCTCCAGAAGCTCGTGTCAAAATCTTGATTAACGCAGAAAGAGCCCGTATCGCACTGGAACCCTCATCATGCTACGACCTTTGCCTTGCCCTAAGGGTCCACGTACCCATATAGAGATACATGAGCCCCAAAGTACCTATATAGGGACCACATTAAGGCCAAAGTATATACTATATGAGTACATGGACCCTTAGGGTTGTAGAACCCACACTAGAGTCTTCTGACTTCGAACCCTTACCAAACGAGCTAGAACCCAAGCGCTCCTCTGTGGCGGCCTGAGAGAGACGTGCGGCGAAGTCCTCGGTTTGGAAGAAGCGGAAAAGGTCCGTCTCCTGAGCCCTATAAGCATTCAAGGCCTATCGCATAAGGCTGAAGGTTTAGGGGTTCAGGGCCAGGGGTTGCGCGATAGGGTTTAGGCGTTAGGATTCGAGGGTGAGTGCGGGTTTAGGGCTTAGGCTTCAGCGGTTTAGGGTTTAGAGGTATGGAGGTTTCGAGAGACTCCTTCTCGGTCGCGTCGACCTTCTCCAGCTCTTCTCGCACCGCCCTTAACCCGGCCTCTCCCAGAAAGGGGCGCAGAACGACATGAGGGAAAGGCTGGCCACCTGGGTTTAGGAATAGGGGGGGGGCGAGTTACGCAAGAAGCTAAGGGGGGGCTCTACCCTTAAACTGTGAATTCCTATGTGGTTCCTGAACCTCAAATTACACACTTTAATCCAAACCAAACCCTCCACCCGAAATAGCACCCGAATACTTTCATTGAATTTCGTCCTCAAGGCACTCTCGAACTCCTTCCGCAGCTCCTGGCGTCGGCTCCCTGAATTCCACTCATCTGCGAAGCGCATGGCTCCCTTCATTGTGTATGTGGGTGTGTATATGTATATGTGTGTATATATATATATATATATATATGTTCATTACACACACACACTCTCTCTCTTTAATATATGTATATACACGCATGTATGTGAGATTTGGTGCTGTTATCTATGTATCTATCTATGTATCTCTCTACCTCTCTATCACTCTATCTATCAATCTATCTATCTTTTTATCTATCTATCTACATATGTATATATATATATATATATATATGTATGTCTATGTATATATTCATATGATACGTATGCTTATCGTCTCTGTGTGGTGCTTGGAAAGCATCGCACTCTTGGGCCCACAAATATCAAGCCGGTGACTTCAGCAGCGCTGAACCAAACACCATGCTCGCCACAGAACCGCAGGCGATACATCACGACAGCCACATTTCAAGGCAGGCAGAAAGCCATGATGAACACCAGCCTCAAGACAAAGCCTGTACCCATACCTGACATCATGAGGTCCCGACCTCATCTTCGAGTTCGTCATCCAGCACCGGCGCAGTACCTACAAAAGGGCTAAGGCGAAGAAATGAGGGTCTCGGGTGTAGTGTTCTTCCAGGCCTGAGCCATCAGGTTGTTGAGTCCGATGATGGGAGGTGGCTTTTCTTTGCCTGATTCCTGTCAGCCTGCTCTCTATCCTTCCGTACCCTGTGGCTAGCCTGCTAGCCTCGTTTGATCGTTGGAACAAGATAGGTCACAGGCCTGGCAGCTTCACTACTCCAGCCGTCCCTCCTGCCTCACACAAAGGAAGCCTGAGTCAGTGGAAAACCCAAACTCCAGCATATCACTGTACACTTCATAAGTATGTAGTGGTATCACATATCATGTCGGAGCCATTGAGACCATGCCTTCCACCATGTGTGCAGTTCTATAGTTTAGGATGAGCCTTAGTTAGAAGGACCCTAAAAGGGACCCAATTCTAGAGTCTAGAGAACTACCCATGTACCTTCCACCCCCCAAGCCCCGAGGGCGATGCTTGGAATCGAAGGTCGGGAGCTGATCCGGTCGCCTCCTGCCGGCTTGGATCATGGTTTCAAGGTTTCTATACTGAACTTAGAACCCTAGCAAAAATCCTAATTTTAGCTGTTTATTAGGGGTTATAATAACCAAAAAATTGAAATAATTTCTAAGTACCCCTAAGGTTTAGGGGTTTAGGGGTGTCCTTCGTTGCGAAGCCAGTTTGGATTATAGGGATTACCTGGACTCTAAAGAACCTGCCTTCCAACGGTTCCTTATTCTGATTTCCTTTTCTTAGGTCTTTAACGGTGGGTTCTTCAGGGTCCAGGTAGGGTATAGAGGTTGTTGAGGGTTAGGGTTGGGGTTTCGGGTTTAAAGCTAAGGCTTGGGGATAATTAACAGGTTCAGGGCATCGAGTTGGAAGTTGCAAGGTTCTGCTAAGGCGCAGAGGAGGCTTTGATCGGTTGAATGTAACCCTAAAGGCCTAAACCCTAAAGGCCCTAAACCTCAAAGGCCCTAAAGGCCCTGAATGAAGCCCTAAACCCGAAAGGCCCTAAACCCCTACAACCTGAACCCTAAGCCCTTATACCCTAATAGAAGCTCTGCAAATGGGAGTCATTCTCCTTCGTCTTTGCTGGCCGGTTCGACAACACGAGCAGCTGTGGGACTTTAGGGCTGTTGTGCTTGCGGGCTGCAGGATGTAGGGTTCAGGCTTTACGGAGAGTCTCCATTGTAGGCTCCTTTACAGGGTAGCCAATTATATAGTTAAAGGTTCCTAACTACAAAATAGTTTAGGCAGAAAAGGAAACTACAATGGCGACTATAGGTAGACTGACGATTAGACAGATGGTGGGAACGGCTCTTTGGGACATCTCCTGCAGATGCCAGGACTGCAGTGGACAGATCCAGTCCTGAATACACACCCCAGTGCCCAATGCTCGGACCCAGATGCGCTACAGACCATGACAAACCTAACCCTGCAACCCAAACGCTTACAACACCAAAAACCTACACACATGTACAGCAACTCTCAAACTCGGACTCAAGTCCTGTAAGAAATCGCATAAAAAATCCATAAATGTAGGAGTCGGAATAATCATCAACATGATCCCTTCCGGTTTCCTCATTTTACAAGGGCATACATACGATAGTATAACACCAAAACCCTATTCAAATTGTTAAGGCCCCTGTATTAAAGTCATGCCGGCACCTCGAAAGCTGCTGCGAACGGTTGCCACATCCGCAGAGTCAGCAGCCGCAAGGCCCATGATGGACTGACGTTGCTCCTGGCCGTGGCGTTGGGTCAAGGTTGATGTTTAGGCTTTAGGGTTTGAGGGTTCAACCTTAAAAGAAAGACGACCCCGAACCCTGAAACCCTAAACTCCGCTTGTGATCCTTTCAACTGTACACCTTACAGCATTGAAACGCAAGCCCTGAAACCCTGCACTCAAAACACTGCTGGGTGGTAGTAACAGACAATACTAAAGTCGTCGGCAATGTAGTACTCAGAACTTATAGCCATGCTAATAAACTTTGTTTAGCAGCAGTAGCGTAACTACAGTCATTTGCTTTTATTAGTTGTAGCAGCTGTAGCAATAGTGAAAATGGTAATAATGGTGCTAATATTAGCGATCATATTAGACAGAATGACCTTTAAAGCACAGGAAGAAAGGCAATGATAGCGCGATAACAGTATTCATAGTAAGGCTCATGATAGGTATACACAGCATGTAATTGCAAAATCATCACAATGACTATCGCCCGAACAGCAACAAACCCTTTGAACTCCCCAAGGCTTGGACAAAGAGAGTTGCGTGGGTGAGCTTACGGCGTAATATAGGCTTATAGGCGCCTCAATAATAAGAATAGGGTTTGGGGGTATATTCTACTAATAACAACAGCAATAATACATCAACAATTTCTTGCGTATCATTACTGTTGTGATTATCATTACTTATTAATGCTTCAAAAGAGTCTTTTTTTGGGACCCATAGGCCTGCGGTGTGCTCTCGCCGTCGTCGCTGTCGCTCATTGGGCTTCGGGCCTGAAGAGCGCGACCTTTGCACTCTCTGGGATTCTCATAGCAATAAGGTTTGGGGTTTAGGCTTTAGGGGTTTAGGGTTCAGAGGTTTAGGGGTTAAGGGTTGCAATGGCAATAGTAGCAATGCTGCTAATCAAGATAGCAGGTTTCTATGACTCCTTCTCAGGACTTTCCATGTGTATCTGGGTCTTATGGAGGCTTTTCTAGGGCTGTATGAGTTTGTTCTTGTTTTGAAAATTATTTTGCGGATTTCGGGTTTTGATCGGGCTTAAAAGGATCCTAGGAGGGTTTGGGTTGCTTCGGCACGCTGGGGAACATGTTCACACAAAACTCGGGCGCGGAAGATCAGAAGAAGACATCATTGCTTTGATAGAGGGGCCGGAGATGACAAGAGATCAGTATTTGGAGTAATATAGGGCCCTTAATAATTGGAATAGGGTTTTGTGGGGTACAATATACCAGAGCCATGTTAAGGAACCCCCACAATCGTATTGGTAATTATTTGGGCTCCTATGTCAGGTAATTCTAGACCTCTCTGTGCAGCCTCAGGGGTCTGCGGTGATATACATTGCCAGAAGTCCGAACTACAACCCGGATCCATAATGTTGTGGCCTTAATAAATAGAATGGGGTTTTGGGCTCCTTTGTCGTAAGGTTATGAAAAGGAACCTTAAGGAATGATATCGGCAATTAATTAGGCTTCTATAGTATCCTCCAAACCCCACACCCGGTAGTAAGTCTCCAAGCCTGTCTTGTGCAACTCTTTGGCATAGAAAGGCCGATGTTTTGACACCCCCGTGCGCCCATAGGATCTTTATGGATCCCTAATAGTCCTCTAAACTAGATTGGCTACTGTGAGGTTTGTGTGGGCCTTCATGAGCAGAAGCCCGTGTCGTGGCGTCTGTGTGGCTACATTACTACAATGATCGTTATGTTGGATTGTGGTAACCATGCCTAACTTGAATTGAAATGGTTGCACAGTAGCAAAGAGAAGCGCCGGCATAAAGTTGTAGAGGCTATGGGATGAGGCATTACATCCTGTGGTCTTCGGACTACTTCATGCGTTGAGCCTCCTTTTCGGTTTCAATGCAGCTTTCAAAGTAGCTCCACGTAAAAGGTACCTTAGCATCCTGATGTGACGTCTCGCTGGCCGTAAAACAACCCTCAACCCCAAACCCACAACCCCACTCCTAGGCCATAAACCCCTAAACCCGAAACCCTAAGCCCTATAAACCCCTAAACCCTAAACCCGTAAACCCTGAACCCTAAACTCCTGTACCCAGAAACCCAAACCCTGAACCCCCGCGTCCAAGCAAGACAAAGACCTGTACATGCAGCTTCTGCTTTCGCCTTGGGGGTTTATACAGAGCTGCCTTAACCTACCAAAGCCTACATCATGTTAAGATTTGCAATAAGGCTCTACCAAAAAGTTAGGTTATGGTGGTTTCAGGTACCCCTTGAATAGACATCATAACTCTAAAGCCCTGTCTCAACCCGTACTAACCCCCCCACATATGGTCCCAAACCTTAGATAACTGCCCACATCTCTCTCTTGCAAACCAGATTGTTTGGGGGAGCCTTTGCATCAATGAGGTTTGGAATCCCGGACGAGCGGGCTCAGATAGATGTATATAGGGGCGTCAAGAATTAGAACAGGATTTTGTGGTCAAATGTGCCATACTTAATCATACCGGGCCACTACAAGGGAATACATATTACTATTCGGACCCCTATAGTAGATAAGGCTGGTGCGTCTGGCAGCGCTATGGTGCAGTGAGAGGAGTTTCATCCGCGCAATCTGGCTTGGACTTGAGCTCGGGTTGACGAGGCAGGGCATATGGCCCCATGATGTCGGATATGGTTTCGGAGTTCAGAGTCGAGGTCGCATGAGTGAGCTGTCATGCAAACCCTACCCTGGGCCCTAAACTATTAAACCCTGCGAAAACCCTGCGCCCAAGGGTTGGAGGTGTCGTGTGAGGCTCTGACATGCCAGAATCTGACACACCGCAGATGTGCGAAGATCCAACATCACAATAAAACAGTCGTAGCTTGGAGAAGATAAGATCGAAGCGGTTTCGGGTGTGGGGCTGTGGGTTGCGGGTTTCGGTCATAGGCTTGCGGCATTGGACTTCGTGCTTGTGGGCCCTGGGTCGGTATCTGTGAGACGAAGCGGTACGTTCACTGCGTACACAGGAACCGGAGAGCGGGCTGTAAACGTGCTTGCAGACTAGGGCTCGTGCCTGAAAGACTTCGAGGGGCAAATGTTCTATTACTCATGAGCTGAGGTTAATGCATCGCGGCTTCTTAGCCTAGCGCTTTCACGTCTGCAGGGGCTCGACTGCAGCCATTGCCGGAAAGGAAAGTCTGTTGCAGCATAGTATGCACTGCATCCCGGGCTACATAGAAACCATGCCGAGGGCCTTCACATGCCGGAAAAATTAGTCAACCGGGCCAGCCTCCTTCTGCGCATCCAATGCGCGCTGCTTCTGCGAAAGGGGATTCAGAGGTCAGGATGTTGAGTATGAGTACCAACCAGAGTCATCCCCATCACCTGCATGATCTTGATCAGAAGCACGATTTTTAACACTGCCACCACTGCGCAACCTCACCACCATCCAGCTGCCCCTTACAAACCTCGACCGTCCCCTGGGCTTACAGTAACCACTACAGTCTTGTTGATGCTATTGTTGCAGTAGCAGGTAGTACCGTCAGAAGCAGAGAACGAAGCAAAGCAGCAGCAGCAGTAGCAGTAGCAGTAGCGATCAGGTCATCAATATCTCGAAGGCTTTACTCCGGAATGAGGCAGACATACTTGCCAAACTGCCAAACCTTGTGCAACTGTGTAACTGGCATCATATCAGGGGCTGGGATTGGGTCTCCGGATTTCGGCCATGGGCTGCTGGTGCCTAGGAAAAAAAGCTCAAACCAGCGGCGTTCCTTCCAACTGCAACTCCCTCCCTAAACCCTAAACCCTAAACCCTAAACCCTAAACCCTGAACCCTAAAATCCTCATACCTAGTCCACCAGTACGAGCCTGAGCACTGGTGACTGAAACACACAGGCTCGACTGCAAACTAAAGCTGTGTAGTCGTAGCAAGCACGAATCCGTACACACCCAAGACATACATATGTATATGTAATATATGTATATGTAATATATGTATATGTAATATGTATATATACATAAGTGTATACATATTTTACCTACTTTGTTATGTACATATTGTACATATATATATATATATACATATACACACTCTATATCTGTATCTATATACATATTATCTATAACTATATCTATATCTATGTATACACATATTATAACGTGTGTGTGCATATATATATATATATATACCCACACATGCATGCACTACACCAAAGTCCTTGAGAAGACTGTTCTGTCCTAAGTCTCCAAGTGCGTCTTGGTCTCAGAACGCTTTCGAGATGACAAAGCCACAAGTTCAGGCTGCTTGGGCCTACGCCTAATTTTAGGGGCAAGGATAATTCTTCAAAAGGAAACCGGTGTATATCATAAATTGACTAACTGTTCCGACTCCTATAGTATCCCCAAATTCAAGCCCACACCTTAGGTTCAACATCATGCAGCACTGCAGCATTCCCGTCCTGCTGCAGAACAGCCGCGACATCTGGGCGGTGCATAACGTTAGGGTTTAACTTTATGGAGTCATTAGGGTTTGGGGTGGACATCAATGAGCTTCATCAAAATACTGCTTAGAATTAAGACCATCGCCATCTTCTGTGCCGACGCCGATGATGCTGATTGCCCTCACCATGGCCATCATCGCGAGATCACAATCGCCGAGGTGACCATGCCTTCAACTGGAAAGTCGACACGTCGTAGCTTGTCGCCATGCGCTGAACCATGCTAAACCGTGGTGCTTAAATGACGAGTCCCCGAAATATGAGAAGTCGAGCGTGGTTTCAGGAGTTGGGGTCGGGAAAGACCAAAGAGCTTCTGCAGGATTTTGGCGTATGTTAAACTAGTACTTGTAATAGGGAACGTAGAGGGTATTCGCTTTAAACCCATGTTTTAGACACGGTTTGTAGGGTGTATACGAGGCAGTGAGTCATGAGTTATGGCCCTCCAGTCGCAGGATATCGTTAGGTAAACCCTCAACACAGTAGGGTATTGCAGCCACAGGTAAACCTTGAAACCGCAAACCCCAAACAGCAAGTGGGCCTCAAACGGAACGCCCCAGACCCTATCGACCCCAAACCCTTCACCCTAAAACCTCAAAACCTTGATGCTCTAAACATCCCTCAACCCCCAAACCCTGCAACCCTTAAACCCCCCAACCGTCCTTGAAGCCCGAAAATCCCTGAACCCTAACCCCTCAAAACCTTAACCCCTAAACATCCCTCAACCCTAAACCCTGCAACCCTTGACCCCCAAACAGCTGAGGTAGGAGCTCTGGGACTTTGAGGGCAGCGATGAGCGCGACTTGGATCGCGAAAAACTCCGGAGGGGCTCCTAAACATGCAGCTCAGCGATTTTTCAGGGACTTAGACAGGCTTCAAGAGATTTAACAGATTTTGATTGTTTATGGTCAGGAGTTTGGTGGAGTTTTATGGGGTTTAGGGTGCTACGCTCATGAGATTAGGTGGCTGTGGGGTTTGGTCCTTCCAGTTTTGATTTCGAGAGGGTGGGGCTGTTGTTGAATTGATGGGTGTCATGCTTTCGGACCGCTCTACACCCCGCAATACGCGAGGCTCTGAGGTTCTGAATTTGATTCGACGCCCCCAGCAGGGCACATGGGAAACATATGCAGGTTGGAGTTTATAGGGATGTTTAGGGCAGCTACCTGCAGGAAAATTTACCCCAGCGACTGGCTTTATCATTAGGCCCTACATCATGTTGCTTGAAGGATGGAGCCCCAAGCTCCTCGCGATTATATCGGTGCCAGAATTCTTGGAGTAGAATTATGGGAGATGCCTTGCTTGAAAGAACTTTACGGCATAGCATTATTATTATTATTATTATTATTAGTATTATTATTATTATTATTATTATTATTATTATTATTATTATTATTATTATTTATATATATATATATATATATATTTGTTATGTTATGTTATGGTATGCTATGTATGTAAAAACTGTTTATGCACGTACGTACGTATGTATATTGTATGCATGCACGTATGAACGGTTGTATGAGTGTACGAATATATGAATGTCTGCACATACGTCTGTATGCATGCATGCATGCATGTGTTTGTACGTATAATGAATATGTAGAAACCTGAATATGTGCTAGCATTATCCGGCAGGATTCCTGGACATAGTCATTGCATACCCCTGAACTCTGCTCCACATACTATAAGACCCTCGCAGCTACTAAAAAAAGGCTGTCAGGGTACATTGTCCGAAACTCGAATATTGACATGTCCTTTGAACAGGTCTCAGCACTGGAAGCACAAAGCAAGTTCAGATGTCTCACAGCATTCCAAGAGTTGAAACCTTGAGTGCAACATGAAACTCACAACATAGACTTGTGTGCAGGGCCTTCTTTGAGGAGCTGCGCTGCTGCTCCTGCACTCCATCCAACTGAATGAGCCGTGCCTGTTGGGAAATCAGGGGTCTGAGGGCTTCGGGTAGAGGTCTGAATTACTAGTAAGACTGCCCTCTTATAGTCCCCATGCAGATATGATATACTCTAATGTAGCCCATAACCCTGTTCTAAAGTTTTAAAGGGCCCTGCATTCCGCGTCTGAGGGCCTGCTGGCTGTTGAACACCACCCTGCTGGAAGCCCTTGAAACGTTGCAAAGCACACTTCAACCTGACAGCATACTCACAGAAGTAAGTCAGTACATCTCACTACCGAGATACCATCAGCGTTTGCAAATGAAAACAAACCCAGTAGCCCTCAACGAAACCCTGAAAAGCCTCCATAAAGGAACCCTTACAGACACCCTGAAAGGACCCAGAAGCGCCCCCAATAAGGGAACCCTTAAAGGAACCCTGAAGAGACCCGATAAGGGAACCCTAAACTTTAGACACCCTTAAAGGAATCCTTAAAGAAACAGTGAAATGCCCCTATAAAGGAACCCGAAAAGCCCAACAAAAGGAACCGGTGCAGGAACCCTCAAATGCCTCCATAAAAGAACCCTTGAAGAACACCGCAAAAGACCCTTTATGTCCGAGGCCTTCGTGGCGGAGAAGCGGCGGCGCGCCGTGGAGCGCTTGCCGTTCAACTTCTCCGTCCAAGCGGCAGCCTCTCAGGAGAGCCTTTAAGGGGCTCCTTTAAGGGATCCCTTTAAGGGGTCCCTTGAAAGGAACCCCTGTAGATCCCTTCAAGGAACCCTTAAAGGGCTCCTTTAAATGGTGTAGGGTTTAGAGGCCTTTAGAGGGTTCCTTTAAGGGCATCTGAAGGGTTTCTTAGGGTTTAGGGGGCTCCTTTACGGGTTCTATGCATAATAGGTTTGCTTTAAGTTCCTGTTTCCTCTAAAGGAACCCTTACAGGAGCCAGTACGGGGAACCCTTAAACCCTTAGAGGAACCCTTTACGGTTCTATAATGGGGTTCCATCTTCAAGGGTACCATGGGTATCGATAACGAATGGCTTTAAGAGTTCCTGTCCAGTGCTTCAAGGGTTTGAGGATTACTTTGTGTTTTTTTGTCGCTCCTTTTCTCCTGCAACACAAAGTCACTGGGGAATGACCATAGGGCTGGAACACCCAGGGTTTAGGGACGATAGCGTTTAGGGGATGAGGGTTTTGGGATTGTAGGTTTCGGGATCAGCAAGGTTTTAAGGATTAGCATTTCGGGCCAGGGATCAGCAAAGGCTTAGGGGTAAGTGTTTCGGGATGAGGCAGTCGGAATGGGGGGTTCGGGTTTAGGGATTAAGGCATACGGAGCTCCCAAAACGGTATCCTACCACTACATGGGAGTTTCCGACAATGGGGGATCCTAGTACAGTACCCGAAACAGTAGGATCCTTATTATAAGGACTCCAAAATAAGGTACCCCTAATTCTCGGAAACTCCTACATCGGTGAAGCTACGGCCTTTGTAGGGTATCCGTCGCTTGGATGCCTTGAAGGGTCTGAGATCGGCTTGACAAGGACCTGTTTGGTGAACGAAACCAAGGACATTCAGCGCATAATATAGGGGCCTTACAATTTGAATAGGATTTTGCGACCCACTATACTGTAAATATGATAATGAAACCCCCAAATAATGTAGGTAATTATTCAAGCCCCTATATTAATCCAATCCCCAAAACCCTTCGTAGTCTAAACCCTATTAGTCCTAAGCCCCAAGCTCCGAACTCGAACTGGAACCCCAACACCCTAAGGCACTCAGCTCAACATCACTAGCCTAATATAGGCGCCTCAATGATTAGAATAGGGTTTTGGGGCCCACTATACTAGTATTACAAAAGGGAACCAATTAGTAAGGCCCCAATAATACCATGCCATGCCCCTGAGGTTCTATTGGGCACTGGGGCATGGGTTTAGGGTTCAGCGCTCTCCGCGCAAGTAGATCCCCAGCAACCATCATCGTTTCAACTTTCTGGAGCCATGCAAAGTGAAAAACAGCCTTGAAACGCCTCAACCCGAACCCCTGTCCCTGCCACCTAAGCCCCCTAAACGCTTGAGCTCTAAAACCCCCGCACCACAAGCCCTTGAAGCCTCCCTTTGCCGTTGCAAATCCGTTGCCGATTCAAGGGAGTCCATCTGCGACAGAACGGTTTAGGGTCTCTAGGTTGCAAGGTACAGGGTTTTCCAGGACCCTTCCGGGTTTTAAATGCCTTGGTCTAGGATGTGATTGATCTTCGACAACCTCTGGATTTGTCATTAACAAGAGACTTTTTTTTTTTAGTTTTGAGGGCTTGGAAAGATGCGGGGCTTGGTGTAGGGCTTGCAAACAGATTAAAGCTTAATGTTTTGGGGTTGGGATTTGTAATTACAGGGTGCAGGGTCAGGGTTTTCGGTTCAGGAGTACAGGGTTCGGGGTCTAAGGACCAGGGTTGGGTTGTAAGCTACGGTAGGGTGTAGGCTTTAACAAGGGGGCTAGGTACGCACGTTATAAAGCGCTTAGGCTTAGGAGGGTAAGCCAATTGAAGGCGAAGTCTCAAACTCTGAAGGCCTACGCCCAGAAAGCACAAGCCCAAGAACCGAATCCATTTATAAACCCTCAACCCTTATGCATACCATAACGCCTTTAACCCCGAGCCGTTTACAAACCCTCGATTAATCGACACTCTAAACCCTAACCCTAAACCCCTAAACCCTAAATCCCTACACCCAAATCTGTTGCAGAACGAACCCTGAACCCTCAACCCAAGCTTGACCTGCTCCCGGGATACCCCAAGGGCCCAACTTACCCAACAACCTGAAGTAAGGGTTTAGGGCTTAGGGGTTTAGGGTTTAGGGCGGCGCTGTGGGGAGTTTACCAAAGAGTTCAATGGTCCAAAGGAGGTACCTGGGCTTCGGATACGTAGTATGTTTGTAGGCCAGCAAGGCTCATAGGTTGGAGTGTCTAATATGAGTAGTGGGTACTTGGACTATTAGGATTAGAGCTTAGGGTTTGAGGCTTGGTAACTCTTCTTGGACTATGGTGAACGAGGTCTGTAAACTTAGTTGAAGGGGTTCTTTGGCATTGGAGTTCGGGGAAATGTAAACCCCTGATTAATGTGCCCTCCCCTTTAAAAAACGGAGGAATATAATAAGGATGCCGATATTAAAGCTGTAAAACAGAGGGGCTTATTCATCAGGCGTCTATATACCTTGCTTTGAACCCTGAATGCAATAGCACAAAATATGTACTCTGTATTTATACACCTAATCCATAGAATGCAGTACACTCAAGATTTCAAACTAAGTGCCTTACCCCGAACTCAGACTTCATACCTTGAATTTGAGGTACTAGGTTTGCGAATGCCGGAGGTGATTGCCTTGAACAGGGGCAAATGATTCGATTGCTCCGGCATCAAACTCCTGCCGACGGCTTCCGTTGGGTTTAGGGCTGAAGCCTTCGGGGTTTAGGCCGGCGGGCTTCCGAAATAGCCACGACCCGCCTCTACTGCAGACGCGGAGTACCTTCAAACATCAGACTTCCTTCGACCTCTTGTCGGTCTCTGTTGTGACGACCTTGAACTTAGGTCAATGAGACAAGTACCGGCACCCCCAAATCCCTTAAACCTTCGCACCTCTAGACTCTAACACTAGGTAAACTCCTGTGGGATATGAGAACCCGCACCTCCGATTGCCTGGTGCTGTCGCGGCAATGCTGCAGCTTTTCCACATATAAACAGGCATCATAACCGACTATTCTTGAAATTCTGGGGAATTAAGCACCCCTCACATGCTATAAAAAAGGATTTTGTGGCTTCCCGAGAACGTGCTGCCACTTCCCACCATCCAAACCTTCTCCGTCCACACAAAACTCCAGAATACTAAAACATGGGCCTTCATACTTAGAATAGGTTTTGGCGTACGTTCTGCTGCGATCCGAATAATCATAACCAGATACCGTGAGGAGCAGTATTACATTCAGTCTTGTATACCAGCTCAAACACCGAAACTCCACTAAAGTTCCTTCAACCCTAAACACCCTATGAACCACCCATCTACGAAACCATCTTTTCAAAATACCTGAAACTCACTAGGGCCGTGCACTGCAGCTGTTCTTCAGTTCGGTGCTTAGGCTTGCGGTTCTAAGACTTCGTCCGCAGCCCAGAACCCTAAGAAGTGGTTGCCTTAGGCCCCAACATCCGAGGATATAGTCCATGGCAATATTTTGCTATACTATAGTATAAAATATTATACTATTACTATACTATACTATACTATACTATACTCTATTGTACTGTACTATATACTATTATACTATATACTGTATGGCGGGAGCACAAGATAGAAGTTCCCGGTTTGCGGCCTTTCAAATAACCCGAAGCAAGACTGCCTTGAAAGCGCTGAACCGAATCCGACCGGCCTCGATGAGACTTGGAGGTGTCCTGCTGTGAGCCTCAGGGGTTGGCAAATTTGCGACCTGTCATCAATTCTGGAGGTTTTTAGGGTTTAGGGTTCAGGAGCTGTGCGTCTTCTCAAAACTTAAGTTGAGGGTTTGCGGGTTTATAACATGGCTACCGGTGAATACGAGTGTCATTCGGTGTACCCTTCTCATTTTCACGTTTATGTATTTTTGCTGCATCAACACAGTATAGCATGTACGCAAGCGTGTGTGTGTGAGAGAGAGAGAGTGTCTGTGTATACATAAACCATCATATATGTCTGTATTTATAATTTATGTATGCATGGAATGTATGTGTGTATGTGTGCATGTATGTCTGTATGTATGTATGTATGCATGTGTGTGCATGTTTGCATGTAACCATGTATGTATGTACATGCACCATACATACATATATATATATATATATATATATATATATATATATATATCCTCAAGGGTCTCGGATCGAAGCTACTGCAACGCCAGTAGCTATTGCCGGCGAACCCCAAGTGCCGAAGGAGTAGGCACGAACCACGCGAGCCATACGGCGACCTCGCCCCCCTGGCATCGGCGCCAGAGACTCAGGCGAGCACAGGCCAGGAAGGCCATCAAAACAGCTCGTCTTCAGGGACTCCCGGGCCCTCGACGAGCGATTTCCTTGCTGAGCAACCACCACAGCAAACCCCGTTACAGGGAGTCGATGGGCCGAGGCGACAAGTACAAATGGTCGGCCTGGCAAGACGATTCCTCGGCCTGGCCATCTTCATCTGGTCAGTGGCCCACCAAGGGAGGGGCGAAGTACAAGAATGGCAAGGGCAGCAAAGGCAAGTGGCAGGACTGGGACTACAACCAGCCCCAGAGCTCCTCCTTCCCGAGCTTCGAAGAAATGCAGCCACGACAGCCGCGGCAGCCCACCAAGATGACGGAGGCCATTGTCATTCCCGAGGACGAGCCGGATGCGGGCCACTACGTGAATGGTGTCCAGAGGGCGCTCAATGGTGTACGACGAGCTACCATGAAAGTCCGGAAGCTCGACAAGGAGGCCCAACAGCTGGATGCCAAGTGGGAAGCTTTCCAGCAGAACTTGCAGGAGTCCTTTGCCCTAGAACGCCGCAAGTATCGCGACAGGAAGAAGAAGCTGGCCGAGCAGATGGACGAGAACCTCGAGATGAAGACGACGGCCTTGGCGGAGCTCAAGGAGGTCATGGAAAAGAAGAAGCAGACCCCCCAGCCGAAGGAGACCCAGGACCTGGAAGCGATGGAGGAGCTCCGGGGATTGCTGCTTACGGCTGGACAGGAGGACGACGAGGACATAGCAACAATCCTGATGGAGGCGTGCCACAATTCGGACCTCACCAAGGAGACGGCGAGACAGAATATCTTGACGATCCTGGAGGAGCACAAGAAGAAGGAATGCCCGAGGACGCCGGAAAGCCGTGGAGTGAACCCGGCGCCAAGGACGCCACCGGCTGCTGTCTATGCCCCGAACAGGACGGCCATGGAAGTGGACAAGACCATCGCGGGCAACGAAGGCACCACCCTCAGCGATCCCTATTTGACCTCGCCGTCGGGTCCTGGAATGCTCCCTTCGCCACCCACCAGAGAGCACCGCTCCAAATCCCGATCCTCTACGAGAACTCCGATAAAATTCGTGGGACGCAAGCCGCACTTGGGAAGGGTGTCCGGCACACCCCTTTCCACGAAACTCTCAGAAAGAAGGGAGGCTGCGATGGTGAACATCGCGGAGGACTCGGAGGAAGACCTCATTGGCCACCTCGAGAAGAAGGAGGCCCCGGAGACCATAGAGTAGTGCCTCGCTGCGTATGTCTTCGGCGAACCAAGTACCATGCCAAAGGGCTTTTTCGGTGTGTCCCTCGGCCTATGACTTGGTGTTTTATGACACGTGGATATGGAAGAGCAGGCAGCAACACGACTTGGCTGCAGCTCTGTGATTTTGAACCTCAATCCGGACTTTTTCGGTCAGTTCCGGTACGAGGAGACCAGAGGCACGGCCCTTCGGGAGGCCACGTCCTTGAGCAGGGCAATGCGATTCAGCGTGTGCCCCCATTTATGATCAACCCAGCCTGGCCACCTTCTGTGTGGAATGCTGGGCAGTTTTGCGAATCTGAGGTGCTTTGCCTGGGGCACTATGAGGGCTGCGACAACGACCCAGCCCGCGACTTGACCGCTTTGTCAGGGGACAACGACGGACAAGCAGAATGGCCCCACCACATCATCTACTACATGTTGACAGCAGGTTTATGCGGCTGGTTGAATGGACTCCATTTTGTCATGGGAGGAACATTGCTCGCGGTCTATCTATCAGCTCTCTTTCGATGCCTTGGACGGAGGAGGCTAGCACGTGGCTGTGCTGGTGCAGTCAATGCGAAAGCCCTGCTGATCTTTGGCATGCTCTCTATTGCGGAGACTGGACGAACAACGACGAGCCGACCTACGACAAGCCCACCCAGAAAATGTTGGAGCGAATACCAGCTCCCTGTCCCTCGACAAACGGACCTTGAACTTTGGACATCGGGTCAACTCACTGCGAGAGAGCAACAGATCAGAGCGAGCGACCAATGGCTGGCGGAGTTACCGCTACAGCACTCTGAAGGAGAAATCGCGCCTCCGAACTTGACCATGCCGGTCCACAGAGAAGAGGAAGGACTCCACCTGCTCACTGAAGCAGAAATGAGGGCTACCCATATCTCTGTGTGGATTGCATCGCCATTCTTCGAGGTCGAGGTCCTGGACCTGGGGATAGCCTTCCCCATGACTGAGCAAAGGTTTCTGGATGCTGTGAGAGGGACGACCACGTGTATGCCGGACTGGGCGGAGACGGTCCTCCCTACGACTCCCCAGGTCGGTCCCTACTACGGGAGCTGTGTCGCGATCCCACCCTGGATTCCGGCTGCTGGAAAGTCCGTGCTCGTAATTGACAACAGGCCGATAGGAGGACACACGTTCCCCTTCTACCACGAAGGTCTGGTGACCCTGGCAGCTCTCAAAAGGCAGGTCCCCCAAGACGACGAGAACGAGGTCGACTTCTATGCCTTCGGTGGCAATCACCCCCTTGGCGAAATAGGGGTTGACCCGATCCAAGGAGGTCTGATCAAAGCTGTTTACAAAGGGGAACCCTGCGACTGGGAATCGGGGATACAACCGAGACTTGCCGACCCGCTATGGTGGTGCCCTCATGCGGGAGTCCCTCAAGGTAATCGGGCACAACACGTGGTATACCAAGGTCCTGAAGAGCAACTTGTTTATGAGGACCTGCCGGGCGCGGAGGAGCACCGAATCGACTTGGCAGAGAACCTCCTCCAGTACCCCCCCCAACCAGTGTTGGATTCGAGAACCAGACCGCCCGGCCGAGGCTCTAAGCCATGCGGGACGGAGTGTCTACAAGCAGATAGCGGTAAACCCGGGACCCAGAAGCACTCGAGAAGACGATCCCTCTGCCACGATCGTCTTCCTGGATCTAAGAGGCTTGACACACTTCCCACAGTGGGTTCAGCTCACCGGAGACCTCTTCAATACGGTTGAGTACTTGGAGGGAATACAGGTGCCGTCGGTCCCCGGATGGACTGTGGTCATTGAGGGCGGCGAAGCGACTGACGACCCGGAGGTGCTCCGCGTTCAAGATGGCGAGACCTTGAACTTCTTCATGAAGGCTGACGAGGACCTCACGCCGTCCCCTGCGGCCTCTCATGAGGAGGACCCGGACGAGGAAGGATCAAGCGATGACCCTCCCGATCCAATGGACACAAGCGATGATTCTGTGGCCCCCCCTCTACCTGACGGGCGACCCCGAGGGCCACCGCCACCAAGGCCTGTCAACCGCAGCCGATCCCCCCGTCGACATCAGGATGACCCACAACATGCAGAACTCTCGCTGGCAGCTATGTTACCGAGCCCCACCTTTGATCTGACCAGGACAGTGCTACAATGGCCCCACCAGTCTACTGAGCTTAACTCCTGGTTCCATCCGTGGGGACCGGCCTGGCTGAACTGGAACCTCGATGGAGTCCGACTACATCCCACCGCGAGTGATGCAGTGCAAAGTTCTGTTCATTGGGCGGACCTCTTGCCGGAGATCATGCAAGGAACAGGAGAATTCCATATCTACACCGATGGCTCTGCGCAGGAGAGTACGGCTAGGAGTGGATATGCTGTGGTGATTCTAGTCAAGGTCGGGGCTTTCGCAGCGGTCCTTGGACTACTTGGTGGCCAGATCATGGGCAACACGGCCTCCCCATGGTATGCCACGGAAACCCCTGCCCTCTATGCGGAGCAGGTCGCTTTGGCATCGGCCCTGCTTTGGGTCCTCCAAGCCCGAGCTATCTTCCCGAGCATGAGATGTCACCTCTTCGTCGACTGCCTCTCTGCTGGAAATGCAGCTACAGGACAATGGGATTCGATGAACAGGCTTGGAGCCCAGACGAGAGACCTTGAGATCTTCATGAGGGAACTTGATGGCCTGAAGCTCGATGTGAGCCACATCAAGAGCCACGTTGGCAACGCTTGGAACGAATTGGCGGACTGCATCGCTAAGAGCGCGATGCAAGGCTGCAGCACATTTGCTGAAGCCACGGAACCTGCAGTGAGAGCTTTTCTTCAACAAGATATATCATGGCTGCGGGTTGAATTGGCCGCTGCACGCACGGGATCCCTTTGGTTGGAGAATGGTGGTGTCTGCTGGAACGAGCAGCCCTACCCCCCATCCGATCTAACGCCAGGAGAGCTTGTGCCTACAGCTGACCAACTACCTCACCAAGCCAGTGATCGTCATGTCGAGTTCTCGATGCAGACATGCACATACAATGTGCAAGGATTGGGAGGCAACCACCGCTACATGGAGGAGCAATTCGCCCACCATGACTTCGGGGTGGTCTTCCTCCAGGAGACCAAACAACAAGGAGGACACTGTAACAGCCAGCGGTACTACCGTCTGGCCTCGGACGCCCAAATTCACTGGGGAACAGCAATTTGGCTTCGCAGACGTGGAGGCTTTATCAGTGTTAATGGCGACCCAGTGATCCCGGCAAAGGAAAACATCAAGGTGATCCACCAGGAACCCCGGATGCTTGCTATTGCAATCCAAATTGGACGGAGCAGGCTTGGACTTATCTCCGCCCATTGCCCGCATGCCTCAAAGTCTCAAGAACGTGATCTATTCATGCAGCAATTTGAGAAACTATGTGGTCGCCTTCGAGATTGCTCCCTCCTCTTGTGTGGAGTTGACCTCAATGGGAGAGTGCCACCCAATCAACCACAAGTGACGGGAGCCCTCGAAGCTGAAGAACCAGACGCAACTGGCAGACGCTTTGTAGAGATCCTCGGCAACAGCGGTGTCTGGATTCCCTCCACGTTTCCGACACTGCATGAGGGGACCACCACCACTTATGTGCACCCCTCTGGCACCGAGAGTCGCATTGACTACATTGGAGCAGGAGGTCGAGCTCGAATAGTGGAAGCGAGAAGCTGGGTCTGCAGCGACATTGACAACTGCAGCCCGAATGAGGATCACTCTGCGGTCGCTCTACAAGTTTGTGGGCAGCTCCCTCTCCAAGGTGACGGCCGGCGACTTCGAAAAGAACGTTTCGATGTTGACAAGCTGTGGACAGAAAACGGCCGCAAGGAGCTTACGATGGCATGCGAGTCCTTTGTTCAGCCATCCTGGCAAGAACACCCCGACCGACACTGCCAAAACATCCAGCAGCACCTGGTTCAGCACCTTCGACACCACTTCGGACAGCAGCCCACCCACGGCCGTGCCTCCTACATTCCAGAGGAGGTATGGACTCTCCGACAGAGGAAGAATTGCCTTCGCTGGCGGTCACGGGAAAGAAGAACTATCTGGCGTCGGCTGCAACGACTGGCATTCCAGCGATGGAAGCATGGCGAAAGTGCGGCAGACGAGGCGACATGCTGGGCACAGGCCACCATCTACGAAGTTGTCGCTGCTGCCATACGATTCGCCACCGGGCGGATCAAAAGAATCATAGCCCAAGCAAAGGACGCCTTTCTACGAGGAGTAGCTGCCGAAGGACACCAAGGAGTCTCTGCTATAATGCAGCGTGTCAAGGCTGCTGGTCTAGGAGCAAAGGCAAAGAGGTCTTTTGGCAGAACGTTGCCTAGACTCCTCCACCCCCGTACTGGTGTGGAGGCAGCAAGCGCTACAGACCGTGATGACTTGTGGTTGGAATACTTTGGTGCGCAGGAAGAAGGTGTTGTGATGTCGACTGACACTTTCATCAAGAGATGTTCAGAGTGGAAGGAGGATCGCAATTTTGACTGGAACTGGAATGATCTTCCCAGCGTCCGCGAGATTGAATCAGTCATGCGGCGGACCAAGCGAGGGAAAGCTCCAGGGTTGGATCAACTACCTAGCGACATCTTTGCAGCGTGTCCAGCTGCGTTGGCGCGTCTGTACCACCCACTGTTTGTCAAGACACTCCTCAACGGCCGACAGCCACTCCAGTGGCGTGGAGGGGTGCTGTACGAAGCCTACAAGCGAAGTGGCCATGCTTGGCTACCTGAAAACCACCGAAGCCTCTACATTTCCAGCTTCGCTGGCAAAGCCCTCCACAAGGCCATGAGAGCTAAAACGGAGGCCGGTGTCAATGCCCTGTTGCACCCGCTCCATTGTGGTACACGACAAGGGCTACCGGTCCTCTATCCATCCCTTTATGTCGTGACGCACCTCAGGAGATGTGCGCAGGGCAAGCGCAATGCAGCAGCTGTCTTCATAGACACAAGAGCTGCCTACTACAGGGTGGTAAGAGAACTGGTGGTCGGTGACCTTCGGTCGGACCATGATGTTGAGAAACTCTTTCACAGATTTGGGTTGGATGGCGACGATGTGAAGGAGATGCTCCAATTGATCCGAGAAGGCGGGATGATGACGGTAGCAGATATTTCCTCTCCGGTCCAGGCTGCAGCCCGCGACTTCTTGAAGTTCACATGGTTCAGTACCCGCTTCACCAGAGGAGACCGCATTTGTGAAGCTGCAGCCGGATCGAGGCCAGGTGCGTCGTGGGCCGATTGCATATTTGCATTCTTGTATGCCAGAGTTCTCTACAAGATCCAGGAGGTGATTTCGGGTGAGGACCTTGGAGTGGTACTACCGTGCAACATGGATGCCGGACCATTCGAATGCCACCCAGAACAACGAGCGACGTGCCTGACGGAGCTCATGGACTCTACTTGGGCAGATGATTCTGCGTACATTTTGGAGGATGAGTCACCGAGAGGACTTCTACTCCGAACGCAGAGGGTCTTGTCGATCGTGCTGACGACATTTCGCAGCCATGGACTCGACCCGAACCTAAAACGGCACAAGACCAGCATGGTACTACGACTTTGTGGCCCTGGATCCCGAGCAGCCCGACACGAATTCTTTGGTAGTGGAAAAGCTGTTTTGAAGATTCCGGACTTGGGCGAAGAGGTACATGTGGTGCTGCATTACAAACACCTGGGTGCAATGCTGGATGCAACAGCATCCATGAAACAGGAATGCAGGCACCGCACTGCCCTGGCCACAGCAGCATATGAGGATGCCAAGGACCTCCTGCTGCAAAATCGAGCAGTTTCGCTACCAACCCGGACGGACTTGTACCAGACTGCTGTTGTTTCGACCTACCACAACCTTGCCCTATGGGTGCCGGAAGGTGAAACATGGCAAAAGCTTTGTGATGGCTTTTCGAGAATTACCAGAAGGCTTCTGCACCATTCGATGCGGCCAGAAGATCTGTGGAGACTGCCCCCCCCGTTGGTGCATTGGACCACTGGATGCTGGCCATTGCCTTTCTTTGCTCGGCGAGCCCGACTGTCCCTCTTGACTGCCTTAGCCCGGAATGGACCTCCACCATTGTGGGCAATGTTGCAGCTCGAAGGAACATGGTGTGAGGTGCTTCGAGAGGACTTGAAATGGCTCATTACGGGGGCGCCTGAGGGGTGGCCCAAAGTGAATGAGAGCGAGTGGCCTACCTGGGTACATCTCATGAGGGACTGCCCGGCCAGAGTCAAACGTCTGACCCGGAAGCGATTGTGCGAGGACTTCCAGAGCTTCAAGGAGAACGCTATCCTACGTGCATGCCATTGGCAGATGTACCGGGATGTAGCTGAAGAAGAAAGCACACCCCATGGAGGGGTGATTTGGCTTTGCCGCATTTGCGACAGGACCTACCGGAACAAGGCTGCCCTTGGAGTTCACTTCTTTAAGGCCCATGGACGATGTGCCGAGTACCGCAGCTATGTCGAAGGTACCCTGTGCAGGGCGTGCAACAAGGAGTTCTGGACATCAGGACGCCTGGAGGACCACCTCAGGGCCGCGAAGAAGTGCTTGCGTGTTCTACAGAAGCGATTCCAGCCTCGGCAAACGGTGTTGCCAGGATATGGAAGCCGGCGGAGGAAGCAAAATGAAATCGAGAAGTTCACCCCAGCTGCCCCGACCCAGCTGGACGAACCTCTACCTTCTGAGAGCATTGACGCATGGAGTTGGTGGCAAAAGCGGGCGCACGAACTGCTATGTGACACCCTCCTGGATGACTTCAGTGAGGTTGACCTTGAGCAACAGGTACGAGCGGTGATTGCCAAACACCCCCTCTACCCGGAGGAGATCCAGCAGATGCTTGAGTTCTTGACCAGCGAGGTCTCTGAAATTCATGCGGTGAAGGAGCTGGAGCAATGGAGTGACTCTGAGTTCTCTTCTATCCTCCAGGCCTTGCGGAACAGTGTTGAGCCTACAGCTCTCCACCTCCCCCAAGAGCCCGCCAAGTACACTCTCTCGAACCGCGACTTTGAGTGTCTTGCCGATTCATACAAGTGGAGCGAGGCCATTTCGAGCTTTGCGCAGTCCCACGTGACCCAACTTGGCTCACTGCACCAACTGGACGATAGCTGGAGAGCTGTATGGTGTCGTACCAGTAGTGAGTCAACTAGTACAGCCGTGGCACTGAATCCACTCAGTTCGCTCCCTGTAACGCTGCAGCAGCTGTGGAAGGAGTTTGTGGGCGGAGCCTCACCTACTCTGCGAGCGCCGGCGAGTTTTTGGGAGCATCCGGTATCGAGGCCATTTTGGCCCTTCCGGGACGATTTGCACTCTAATTAGGCAGCGGACAACCACTGAAAGCACGGAAATGCGGAAAAATATATCCTCAAGACATACATATCTGCATGAGGATGTGTGTCTGTGTGTGAGTGCATACGCATACAGCCGCCTACACATGTACATAATAATACACGACAATCTAACACCCACTATGGAAATCATGATAGCTTGCGAAGGCATCCCCGGGGTTTCGTTTCGTCCGAGTGTAACTTCACTTGTTGTGCCATACCCTAAACCCTGCTGGCTAGTGTGGTCGGCCATGCTCGGCCCAGGCTGATACTTGCAGTTCGGGGGTTGCCCCAAAACTCGCTCAAAGCTCGGCCGGTAAGCATGATATTCGGACACTGAGTGTTAGAATAGGGTACTCTAGCACAACTAAAATGAATAATGAGAACACTACAAGCAGCAACACGAACTAAACCAAGAATGAGCCCAAAGGAATCGCGGTTCAAATCATTAAGGCTTCTATCTGACGTTGGATCACTCCGGAGAAGCTGCCCCGCGCTCTGCAACCAGCATGCGAGCACCCAAAGTTCCCCCCCGCCCCCCCCGCGTCCACTCTCCAGAAACCCGTACCTGAAACCCTGGCCGTAATCCCTGAACCCTAAACTCTGAACCCTAAACCCTAAAACCCTAACATCTTAACCCACTAACACCCCGATACACCCCGACACCCCCATAGAAATGCAGAGCAGAAGCGAGCTGCCACCCATGAGGGACTCGGGAGCTACCTGGCCGCAGTTCCAACCCTAGGGCTCCAGCTACCTAAATAGTAGGTAACTAACCATATATTCTAACAGACAACTAAATAAGGTCACTAAGCATATGTTATAACAGTTACCTAAATAAATAGTAGGTTACCAAGCATAGATTAGATACTCCAGTAACCTGCGATTTGGGTAACTAGAGCCCTAGGGTAACACGGGGGCCTTCATAATCAGAATGGAGTTTACGGCTTGTCCATGAAAGGTCTCCGCCAAAGGGTTCTATAAGGGGAAATGCACCGGGGTCTGTATAGTTAGAATAGGCTTTGGGGCGGCATATTACACTCTAAGTGTTTTATGAAATCCTGAGCAGGATGGGTTCTGATAAACGCTTTTGGTCTACATTGCACTAATTAATGCTGAGACATTCCCCTCTCCCCCTACTTCCCGTGGCCGTCGGAAGGAAGATCCTCATGCGGGCCTTGGGTCGAATGCAGAATTTGAGGGTCTGCCGTGTTTGGGGTTGAGGGTTTGGCTTCGGGTTTAGGGGTCAGTTCAGGTTAGGGTTTGGGGAAGGGCTGGTTCTGGGTGTTGGGTTTAAGGCGCAGATGTCACGCAAATTCCTTGCAAAACCTTGCATGCCACAGCAGAGCAGCGGGCTTCTACGTAGAAGCTGTGACACCCCGAATCTCCGATTTCTTGGGCTCTGATACAAGAATGCCCCTGAATTAAACAGCAGGGTGGCAGAGTAGCTCAGACGGATTGGCTACAGCTATATAGCGCAGCCATCGCGTTTCCCAAGACACAGTGTCTCCAGCGAAACGGCAGTCAACAGCCACAAATCAATTCAACCAAAGACAACAGCGGAAGCAACAATCTCAAACTTGAGACCGGCTCATCGAGGCAGGCAGCACACGATCAATCTCAAGCTGCCTCATTTAACTTAGTCATTCTACACTCGTGAAACACTCCAAGAGCTTACAAGTACCACTGGGGACCAGGTGACCACCTGCCATGCACACAAAGCTGAGAGCTGGCAGCCGGTGTCGTTAGCTCGACCATGCACGAAAAACCCTGCTGAGAGTGTGATTTCACTGCTTGACGTTCAATTAACGACAACAGCGAGTACGGACAGTTCAACATGCCTGCGATTGAAGTGCGCAAGCCCCAAACATGTTGAACTATCAGATTACTGTGAATCGTGACATGTTTGGCTGCTCTCTCTTCCCGAAACAATCCCGTTCCACGACACACAGCACCGCTTAAATTAAGACATCAGCATCTGCTCGACCGATATTTCGATCCCCCAAGCAAACGACCTCCAAGGCCCCTAAACCCCCGTTCTTGAACCTTTGTTTTTCTCCTTGGCCACAAGCAGCAGACACCTCGCATGGCGCTCTCACGCAAGGTCTACAATCTCGATGCTGGGGGAGCACTGTCCACCAACTCTGCTGTTCTTCCGTATCGGACATGCACCCACTCTCCTCTAACTTCGTCTCCGTTCACTCTGGGCCTGACCGTCCGCTTCTTGACTTCATATACCTCAATTTTGAGGTTCTGAAGTTCTCCGCCCGAAGCCCTCACAACTGCGGCAGCAAGAAGCAAATACAAAGCCGTGCACTTATATCCCGGTACTGAAGCGGAGACAGCGGCCAAAACGCATTTGATGGCCAGCTGCAACCACTGTGATTCCCTGGCCGGCTCAAACCATGTCTTGTGAGGGACCGCTTGGATTTCCTCCCAGCACTCGCCAGTCTCAGCTTGACCTTTTTCATGATTCGCCCTCTCTACTTCATCATAATATGCTCTGAGAACCTTCTCAAGCCGTTCTCTCGCTTCTGTTGTCAAGCATGCGGCATTGACCGCTTGCATGGCCGCATGTGGTTGATATGACAGTTTTGGTCGATAAGGACCATCTACCGGCAATTGGCTCTGGTAGATGCTAAGGGCTTGCTGTATGCACCTTTCTTCGCGGTCGTGCAAAATACTCTGGTAAACGTCCCGCGGCCTGATGCAGTCTCCGTTGTTTATCAGTTCCACAGACCGGCGCAAAAGGTCATGAAACATGTTTCCATCAAAATATGCTGGTTCATAGTCTTCGAGCACGCCGATGTCTGCAGTACGCAGCGGAGGAGCTTGCAGCACAAGATGTTGCAATGGGCGGATGTGCATGTCGAGGTCTTTGGCAGCCGAAATTGGCAAAGATGCAAAATAGCGGCGCGGGAAATGTTTTCGCACAGCTTCACGACAGGCGTTGCGTTCTGCGTTTTCTTCATCTGAGGACAGTGCCTTTTCGAATATCTCAGAACCCTGCACTGCATATTGACCATGAAACCGGCTTCCATTCACCACAACCACGAGCTCTGGCGGCTGTGGGTCCAAGTTGTTGGCTGCCGCAGCGCCACTTGGCATCAATACCTCTCGGCACGCACTCAGCCTGGCCAAGCTGGTCATCTGCCTGTCGTCGAGACGGTCATAGTCCACACACACAATCTGGCTGCAAAGAAGCAAACATAGTGTTGCCACCTCTGGTCTTGATTTTGCTAGTACATTGTCGAAGCCCTCGCTGTCCAAGACTAACAAGGTGCCATTGTTGCGAGGATTCTGAACAGCAACAGCATCAATACCTTGAGTGACGGCATCCAATACATCCGGGGCCGGGAAGAGCGAACTGTTGCCAACAACGCTCCCTGCCAGGGTAGACTTGCCTGTCCGTCCGGGTCCGACAAACGCAACAACTTGCAGCGGTGCTTTCAGTGACCTCAGCGCATCAGACGCTTGCATCAGAAAGTCCATCTTTCCATTATCATCGAAACGCACAAGAGCGATCCGCTGCATTACAACTGTGAGTTGCCAATTCTCGTCTGGTTCATCATGCACACGAAAGCACCGTGCCTTGTCTGGCGAAGTCTGTATATGCTCCGACGAGAAAACGGTCACATGACCGTCTTGAGATCGTGTGATGGCGACGCACCTGGCACCACATGCAACATCCAGAGCCTCGTGGTGTCGCGTTCCATACCCGTCCAAAACGAGGTTAAACTCAGTCACCCCCGTGGTAAACTTGACCTTTGTTTCTAAAATCTCACCACTTCGGCCGTCAATCAAAATGCCACCATCTGCCGCAAACGCCTCCTGCAGGGAGCCTTCATGCTGGTGGTCCGTGATCTTTTTGTGGCAAAGACTTGAACTGGTGGTCGAAAGCCGTCGGTATGCTGGAAGATTTGCTGCATCCGCCAGAACGAGAATGCAGCCGGTGGCCTTCGCTTCGTAAGTGCTCAGACGCTTCGCGACATCGACACAATGCTGGAACACAGAGAATTGCACACATGGTGGCAAACTCACGTGACCCAGCCGCGAAGTTCCAATTTTGTCGATCTGAAGTGGGTGCATTATGAGGGGCAGAAGTGAGGCCGCTTCTGCTATTCGGTTATTCTTCAAGCGGATGATAAAAATCATGCGCTCTGCATCCTAGACAGTGCAATGCGTTCGTGCCTGTTCGTCTTCGGTTTGAACAGAGGCAATGCGAAAGACCTGTCAATGTGCTCATATGTCGCTATGTCGTCTAAACTGTACACTTTCCTTGAGGCGGGACGGGTACTCAAATCAGTGCTTATAGGCATTCGGAACTTCAGGATGGTGCTTCTGCTACTGGCATCACCAGTTTATCGCTTGCCATCGGACTTCTTTTCTTTTGTGAATATGATGAGTCTTGAAGCGTTAGTCATCTGTCGATCTCAACTGTTCTGTTGGACATGTCCAGTAAGTCAGTGAAAAAGGTGTGCGATGAGAGACCACATTGCCTTCGAGGCCAAGCTATCCCTCGGGCACATGTCCCTTTGCCTCGGAACCTTCAATGCCAGCAAAACATCTTAAATCTCAGAATCACACAAGACATCTCACATACATTGTACTGTACCCTTCAATGAAGTTCGCTCAACCCTATACTCTGAACTCTAGACCTTAAAACCCTGAACCGAGTTCCAGAGCAGGCCTTCTGGGTCTTTGACGCCATCCGCGCCTTGGATTGATCAGGGATTCTAGAAACGTCTCTACGGGTTCCGAGGGTTTATTGTCGGGGTTGCATGGGTTCGTTTAGGGAGTACTTGACAGTTCGACAGTCTCCACAGTTGTATCAGGTTTCAGTGTTACGAGATTGACGCTTTCGGGCTTCAAGGTCCAGGTTTAGGATGCAATGTGAGGGCCCTTGAATGTTCTGATTCACGGTCTTGTTGTATGCCCAACATTCCGAAAGTATAATGCTCAAGCCTAACCCTCTGATTACGGGGTTCAGAGTGCTGAGGGGAGCACTTCGGTCGAGTCATGCTGGCAGTTTCGCTTTAGGCTTGAGGGTGTCGGGTTGAGGTTTTCAAGCGATTTAACGGTTTGCATCAGCAAGATACAGAACCCTTGCACTCAGCTTGCACTATATATGGTAACCTCCCCCATGACCTTTACGACGAGCCTTCTCACCGACTGTTCCCGCTCACGGTTCTGTCTCTGAAAGACTTCGCCGCCCTCATTCATCGTGCTGTGTGTCCTGCTTGCAGGGACGGGGCGACCGCACATGACTGACTATTTCATTCCGGTTGTAGTATCGGTTTTGCTGGCCGCCCGTGCCCTCGCCTCGCCTCGCCTTCAGAAGCAGGGATGTGCGCACTTGTCGAGGTCTGGCCTTCGTGTGTTCGCTTGCTATGTCTTCCTCGTCTAAGTCGGTTGGCGTAGCAGACATGCATTTGCTTGTCACATCTTCCTCAGACGTAGGTTGGCGCCAAGTCAGACAGACATAGAAGTGCATCACTACACTCATGTACAGATGTGTATATCATGTGTGCAGGTGTATATATGTACGTACACAAACACACATGGATGATTGGTTTAATGTATATTTACCACAAGCAGGACGCACGCGTGTTTCACTTTGTCCGGTAAGCCTTGCGGAGTTTTGTACATATATGTTGCAGCCGACAGCAAAACCCCGTGCACCTCCTCCACGGTCTTCTCAGCCAGGTACTTTATTTCGTCGTCACCCACGGGTCATGTGCATCGTCAAGTCAACTCCAGCATAGCATCACCAACATCATCATTAACATCATGAACATCATCATGAACCCTGTTTCCATCTTCAACTCCAAGCACAATGCCGCATGCCAGCATCCACGCCCCAAAGGGACGAACATCCACCTATAGATCATGGCCGCCACCGCCATCAACGAAAAGCTGAGACGCCCTTCGCATGAAACTCTCAACCCAAGGTCCGCACTGCTTGGTGGAGAAGTCGGACGGTCTCCAGATGCATGTTCTCCTGGCTGAAAGCGCTCAAACCCTAAAGGCACCGATTATGACCCTAAACCCTAAAAACTAAATTATTCCTATCATTCAAAAAGTTCTTTCGAGTCCTTTTGGGGCAGCTAGCCATACCAGACGTGCTCTTACTATAACAAGTAAGTGTGGCTGTGGGAATGACTACAATGGTTTAGTTTCAATATTCTACTTTCAAGAATACTGCAGGGGCAGGCTTGTTCAACACTCCAATTCTTACCGACGGAGACTAACTATGTGCAACTCCTGCGGCTTCCTTCTCGACGCCGTCGTCTTCCAATGGCTCAATTCTGGCCGGTCCGGTCGACTTATCCATTCATGGTCCAGTCTTGATCCTTGCTCCGAAACTGTGTCTTCCACTTCGCCGTCTGGCAGCACCCCGCTGCTGGAATCTGAACAATGCTCCAGAACGCCCAGGTACAGTACGACGCGGCAGTGGTTGTCCCTGAAAGTCTGGGTGGCAAATGGGTCGTGTTTTGTCGCATTCTTTCTGTCAGTTGTCCATGAACATGTTATACTGTTTGAGTTTAAGTGAGTGGCATCCAGTGTCGTCTTGCACCAAAACCACAATGTGTCGCTTTTCCACAGACGTGCAGCAGGCGAAAGTCTTGCAAGTAGATGACTAGCGAGCCTTGCTCGTGGACCAAGTACCTTGTCGACCATACGCCATGTAGCCGTTGCCTTAACACGTAAGGCGTTTTGAGTTGCGCTTGAAGCTAGCTAGAGACAGAGATGTCACTATATGAATTAGTTCAACAGCTGAACACTGTCTGTTGGCTCCTGGAACAAGAATAAACGATAAGGGCATGCTAGCCGCGCGGCCCTGCCATAAATCCTAATCAAACCTTTAGGGTTTGTAGGCCAGAGTTGGCGGGTTTAGGGGTTTAGGGACTTAGAGGTTTAGGGCGTAGGACCCTCACCAAAAAATAATAAGGCTTAGGACTCGAGAAGACACCTTAAAAGTACACTAGAACCTAAACCCTGAAGGACGAACAAACCCTGAAACAGTACCATATACCCTGCAGGACACTAGAAACAGCCCGTTTTGATCCTAACAGCAGATCCCAAACCTGCACCATAAACCACAAAGGATCCTGGGTTGTTTGATCCTAACAAAGACATACAAAGACTTTAAGCCCGTACCCTAAACCGTAAAGCATCCCAAGAACAGGCCCTAAGCACCACTTCCCAAGCAGTCTATATGAACCCTAAAGGATCCCAGAAACAACCCTATTTCATCCTAAGAACGGCTTTAAACCTGTACCCTAATTAAACCCTAAAGGATCCTATAAAAAGGCCCTAAGCACCACAACGAAAGCAGTCCTGATACTGGCGGCCGCCTTTCCGCCCACGACGCCGATTCTTTCGGAGGGCCTCGACTGAGACCCGAAACCCAAAAGAAACCCCTAAAAGGAACCCCTAAAATTAAAAGGAACCCTAGAAGAAATAGGAAACCGAAAAGGAACCCTAGAAGGAACCCTGAACAGATCCCTAAAAGGAACCCTAGAAGGAACCCTGAACAGAACTCTCAAAGGAACCCGAAGAGCCAGCTGATCTGGAGCGCTGCAGGGCTGTAAGTTTACGGTCTTCAGGGCTATAAAGCCGATGCCTTAATAATTAGCAAAGAGTTCTGGGGTGTATGGTTTATAGAGTTTAGGGTTTCGTATACTACAAGTTTGGGGTGTATCATTATCGGTTTAGGCTTTAGGGTCTAGTATACTATAACTATAGTAGGAACCCTGAGGAATAATAATGGGAGCTAGTGTTCTTTCTGCCACCCAAGCCTCCAGCAGGGTTTTTGGTGTCGAACCCTGAATGCCACAAAATAATCATATGAGAGTTTTCGAAAATGGGGGACCCCAATACAGTACCCTAACTAGTAGGATCCTTACTATAAGGACCCTAAAATAAGGTACCCCTGTTTTCGGAAACTCCCATATTGCGGTATTCAGACTCTCCTGGGGATTTCCACAGAGTTTTATAAGTTGCAAAAGAAGTCTTGTAGCTATCTCAACGGCCACCGGCCTCCTGCAGCCACTCTGCCGCATTCACGACCTGCGCATAAAGGTTTAAGGTATGCAGAGGCATCGAAATTGAGGAGCAATTAAAGCCAGGGTTCTATACGCCCTGAGTTGTCGTTAGCTCATAACATGTCCCTGATGTACATATGTCAAGGCAGTTGAGGTCCTCGAAGACTAGATACTAGGCCCCCTTATGGGATGGCGCCCCAGCACCTGTTCACAGTACGCGCATGGCCCTGGCAACAATACCCAAACCCTACTCCCCAAACAGCAGGCCCTCAAAAACAAAAAATCCTGAACCCTAAACCCTTTTTCCTAGACCCTAACCCTAAGGGTCCACCTCTCCGTACTGTAGGACTTTGGGTCCTCTTGCGGTACCCAAAACCATACATAAGCACTACTTGGACTCTTAGGGTAAACCCTAAAGCGGCAGGACCTGTTCTTCCGAATCTTCATCAACCGGCTTGTGGAGCTCCGCGGAAGCTTCTGGCGGGTGCTTGGAGGGTGGAGGTTCAAGTTTTGTTGCAGCATAAACATATATACGGAGGTCATGAGGGGCTGCTGTTGCTAATTGTTGAAACCTCTTTCTTGCAGGGTTCATCGCAGTTCGGTTAGTTTAGTGGGTGTTAAGGCGCAGGTTTTGGGGTCGATGGCTTATGGTGTTTGGGCTTGGGTTTTCGGGATTAGGCTGTCCAACTTGGGTTTACAGCATCTTGTAGCAGTTGGGATGCGGGTCATGCGTTTACACAAGAACCTAAGCCCTGTAAACCCTATAGGCCCTGAACCCCAGAACCAGTGCCTTGAACCCCAGAACCTGAGCCTTAAGCCGTAGCTCTCTGCGTCATGCATAGGGGATTTCGGGTTGCGGGGCTTCACGGCCACCCGAAATTCTAAACCCTGCTCCCTTCAGAACCGTGGCTTTGCACTACTAGGTTAACTTCTGAGGTAGAAATATACATCTACAGAGAAAGATGGATAGAAAGGTAGGTGGGGATCTTAATATGAGTAGATTAAGATGGGGAGATGGCATATTATAGACCATAGTTTCAA